TGTACCCTTCTGCCAAGCAGAGGTGAAAGAGCGCAGGCTGAAACTGAAAGAAGAGTTTGGTCTTGTTAGTATTTAGGCTGATTAAGGGGGAAAAGGCTTTGGGAAACACTTCAAGCCAAAGAACAAAAACTACTGCTGGTGCTCAAAACATAGTGAAATCCTGCAAAGTTCCAACAAAGCTACTGAAAAGAGAGATGGCATATACTCAAAATAAAACATCTCTGTCTCCCCAAATTCGGGGTTCACCAGTTCCTTCTTACACACACATCAACCCTGGGCTGTGCTTTCCACACACTGTACTGGACTGTGGGTCAGCTGAAGGATCAATAGGTGAAAAGTGGCTGATGAGTAAATAGGAAAGGACTTTGCCTTTACGAAAAGAACAGGCATATTAGTTATTTTAGGGGGAGTTTTCTGTGTTCTTACCTTCATGCATGTGTTAGAGACCTTCAATCAAGATTGTTTTGTTTTATTTAGTTTCATTTTGTTTCATTATCAATATTCCAGTCCTTTGGACTGGAGTATTTTACATTCTGCCAGAAATCACAATATGAAGAATCTGTGTTACTAGAAAACCAGTGCAATGATCATTTTATACAAGCCCAGAGACAGACCAATCAAGCATAAGGAATTTTAAGATTCATTATGTAAATGGTTATGTATAGGCTTGCTCTTCTGTGATTGTGAGAGACAGTGAGAAATATCCCTATTTAGTTGAAGTTACTGGTTTATGTTTTGGTGGAAAAAAATCTTTATTAGAGTCAGAACACTTCCTTAAAATCAAATATAAAATATTTATGCAACGTATTGCTATGGATAGCTGTTATGTACTCACATATATTTATTCACTTAAGGAAGCAAAAGTGCAAATCCAAGTAAAAACAAGTGAAAGCAAAAACCGTAGCTTTTACAAGGTCCTCTTTATAATGTGATCTGTGAAAATGTTTAGCTGTGGGTTCATACAAGGCTATTTGTATAGTTGTGCAAACAGACCTCAGACCCTGACAAACAAGCCATTCCAGACAATGGAAAGCCTGCCTCCTCCCCTCTGAAAAAGATGGGCACAGAACAAGATTTTGGTGTGATCTCACAGTGCAAAAGTGCTTTTCCAGTGACTACAGGAGTAGGAAATCTGTGTTGGTTGTGTTTCAGTCTTCTGCAAATTATTCACTTTTCAGCTGGGAGAACTCCTTATGCATTTCTCAAGGAATAGGTATTAACCTTGCAGATATTATTTTTTTTCTTATCCTATATTTCATCTGTAGAAAAGCAAAGAACCCACTCATAGTTGTTTCTTGTCCTGTTTTAGTGACTTAGTAATTGCATCAGCTCCGACCTTGCATGGCATCAGTGCAAGTTGTAGAAGCAGAACTGTCTCTGAAAATGGCAGGAGCCTTATGCTCCACAGCCACTGCTGCTCTTAATTCCCTCATTATCTCTGCAAGAGTGAGAAGTCCTTGTTTTACCAGCTGCAAGTTTAACAAGCCTTTTCTGCTCCCTGTGGAGAGTATGAGCCCTGTTCCCAAGAGGACTTCTTCTTCCATGTCTTTGCCCTGAACACAAACCAGCTTTGTGATGGAAATCGCTGCTCTTCCTCCTCACCTGGCTTGGCTTGGGAGGCCAAAAGCTCTGAGGAAAATGATGAGATTTTTGCATGGAAATAAATCAGCAGAGGGAATTAGAGGGTGTAGAGGGAGGGCAGAGTGAAAATAACTTTGTTCTTAATAGTTCTCAAGTCTGAACTTCTGTAAACATCTCCCAAAGAGCACAGATTTGGACCCTGAGGATCCACAGGTACCTCTCCTCAACTTCTTCCTCCCTCCTGACACCTGAAGTGAGAGTGGAAACCAGGAGAGGAAGGGTGAAGGAAACTGGCTGTCTCTTGATAAAAAAAACTATGCCTAGAGCAGGCAAAACTTAGCTTTTTCTGATATTAGTTTGAAGTCAGAAACATTCTTCCTGCTACTGCTGCTGGCCCTTTCTCTGTCCAGCAATGGACAGAGTGTACTTGCCATCTTTTTTGGTCTCAAAGGGAGCTACCAGACTTGTGGCATGCCTACCATAAAATAGTGAACTGACTTGTTGACAACTTTTTCTCTTTCCCTACCTCCTTGTCTTGAAAGGAAGGCAAGAGATGTCACTTATGCAGGTGGCGGGGTGAGGTGAAGGTCCCTTCTTCTTTACAGTACAACACGCAGTGAGCCCATGCTGTGAGCATGAATTCATGTTACAAATACTGGACTGCCGTTTTGAGGCATCCATTGCTAATAATTAAAGACACAGACTTAAATGTGGTGTATTAAAGGGCAGTTTATCATCAGAACCTGGGGGATAGCCATGTGATCATTTCTGAGACTTGACCTGCCTGTAAATCAGATGGGCATTTTTCCATTCTCATGAGTCAACAAAATTATGTTTGGGAGACAACAGTCCAGTAAAGGTTTGTAAAAATGAGACCTGATGAAAGTTTCAGTTTGTTCTTTCATTTGCTTTTGATCAAAACTGGTTCCTGTACAAACAATTATTCCTCAGACAATTTTTTCCCCTGTTAATCAATATCCTACCTTGTAAGATATTGTGTCTCTCCTACAGTCTGAAATACCATCAGCTGATGAGTCATTTTATATGTTTATGCTAAGATGAGACTACCCTCTGGAAATCCCTCTGTCTCGAACATATAGGAAAAATGGGCTGAGTGGCTCAGATAGAGCCATCAATTTTATTTCCACAGAAATTAAAGCAGATGAACGCCTTCAAGCGTGACAGATTGAGATGGTGTTGTACAGGTAGGTTTCCAGCACAGTTACTTTGGTGCTATATAAACCAGAAGGAGCTTTCTCTCACCTTGCTGGACCACAGAAATGCCTGGGGTTAAGTAATGGCATAGAGAACGGCCTTGTCACTTGCGTTTGTCCCCACTTAGAAATGCTTTACAGCCTCTCTTTTAGCCACAGTGTCTAGTTTGATTTTGGGATGCCTTTGCAGTATTTGTGAAAACTTGTCTCTGCACGTGACTTTTAGTTGCTGTCATGTCAAAATGTTGAAGCTGGGAAGAGAATGGATGAATAATCAAATGTAAAATTGTGTCTTAGTCCAGAATGTCTGTCCCTGGGGTATTAATGTGCACATCACCAGCATGTCCATCATGTTTGGTTGCACCATTTTGCAAGTCATTAATAAATAACCAGGATAGGTAATATTCTTTGCTGCAATATGCCATCAGCCCATTTCTTACAGCATGGACCTAAATTGACAGTGGCTCTTTGGTATTTCTGTTTTGCAGATATTGTAGAGTTTTCCAATGGAAAGGCTGGCATTGTTCATGAGCTTTTGTTTGCTGCTGTCTGATACACAGCAAGCACCATCGTAAGTACATTTTGTTATCAATTCTTAAATCCTATCCCTTGGAAGAGAAAGTAGGAAATATTCTTTCTCTCGATAGAGAATCAACAAAGCCAGTTTCTTAGATCACTGAAAATTTGTGTAATCTTAAATAGGTAAGAGGTAAAAAGCTTAAAACAGCCCTTTTAAGGCACTTTTAAGGGAAGAGACCTCCACTTAGTAATGAATAATTAAAAATATCCCACTAAAGCATGTTGTTCATTCTGTTATTGCTGTTTGTTCACCTTTTGTTTATGACATGTACTGGGTTGAAAAATCTTCGGAAACAATATCTCTGTAATTGAGCTGTACATTGCAGAAAGCAAAGGTTTCACTTTTGGGAGAGCTTCAGTGTTTTTCTGTATTTATCCTCTATTTTAGTGGAGACTTACATGTGTTGATACTGGTTCTTCTAGTTGGACAAATTCCTGAGTTTGGGAAATAGGTGTTACTCTTTGAGAAAACCTGTGGAGTACGTTAAAGGTCCTTCAAATTAATCTTTATCTGTAGGGCAGAGGTACAGCAGAAGAGACTCTTTCTTTGTTCCCATGAGGATCAAATGTTTGCAGGTACTTACCATACTCAGAGGAGAGCTTTGGTGAGATATTTGGGCTGTCAGTTCAAACTTTCTTCCCCTTCCATATCAGGTAACCTTTGAGGTTATCTCTAGCCCCAAATACTTATTTCTTTTCTGATGATGTTTCATCCAGGTGCAGACTCCTGCCTGCAGCCTGGTGTTAAACTCCAGTGTCCACATCAGCATGAAAACTACAGCCCCACAAAAAGTTGATATTGGGGCTCCTGTGGGGCATCTTGAGACATACTTCATCATTAGTAAAGCACAATCTTTGTCATCTGTGAAAAAAGTCTTAGTGGAAAGGGGGACTGAGATAGATTTTTTCCCTGAGGTAATGGGATGTGGGAAACACAAGGTGCTGAATTTATCAGGTATATGAAATTGAACATTACATCAGAAAAATAGCGTGATGCTTTGAGACTAGATCTGGCCTGGGTCTGGCTAGCTGAGATTATGGGCAGTGTAGGCTAGTGACCATACCTCACTGAGCTATTACATAGGTAAACTTTTAAACATCCAAAGCAACTAACTATACCTCAGGAAAAAAAAAATACCTTGAATTTCTGTAGACTATGTCAGAGAGCAAGCATTACTCTCTATTTTCCATATGTGAAGTTAGGTCTTGTGTCACCTTTTGCTAGAACCAACAGACTCTGAGTGAATGAAATTAAATATCAGTTTTATTCCCTGATTGCTATACCCCACCATTTATTTTATACATTTAAGAAAGAAGAAACATTATTTTAAAAAAGTAAAAAAGAGAAAGTTCAGCTGACCCATTCTGATAATAGCAAAATCATTTACCTTTCATTTTAGAATTCTTTTGCAGAATAATAATTTTCCAAAAGCAGCTTACTTGAACTGAGAACTATTCTTTGTGTATGTGACATTATATGTGAAGAGTCATGACATGACTTTTGACATAGTTCTCTGATTTTTGTGTGTAAAATATCCTGGAAAAAAATGGGAGCAAGAATAATGATCTACATTTTAATGGTCATGAAATTAATTGCTAAGAAGCACCAGAGCAGAGTTTAGAATAAAGGAAAGTAATAAAGAGAAAAAAAGAAATCCTAACCAGTTTAGCCTCCAGCTCAACCCTTCCCAGGGCTTTGATCTTACCTTCTGTGGTCTCTCATTTCCTGCATTTCACAAACAGTGATATTGCAATGAAGATCGGCTACTTGTACCCCCATACACATGGTTAGATAGGAAATTGATTTCTCCTGACATATTAAAGCATAAGCTGTCATAATGTAAGTGCTAATACACAAAGATACATAACTTTGTAACATTAAATATGTATTTATGAATATGTATTCATTGTCTTTCAATGCATGGCCTCATTTTGTTTAAGAAATTCGAGTTTGTAAAACTTCGTCTGAGTTAAACCAGGCTATAAATGGGGTCCCTGGGACATGTTGCAGGTTTTTTTCTCTCCTATGTATAGGGACTGATGTTTTGTAGGAGTTAAATGTGATAGTTCAGAATTTGGGGATCAGTTGAGGAGAAACTGTCTACTTTTAACCTCTATTCTGACTAACAAGGGCAATAGATCAGTTGATCTCCACAATTCCCAAGCTCAGCTATTCTGTGAGTGTCTGCTTTTTTCTTTAAAATTTGTACTGATTGGACAATCACTGAGCATACTGGAAAATCTGTTTGTCTGTTGTTTTAGATTTCTTATTACTGCTCCAAATGTGGTACATTTGGGCACATACGAGACAATAACAGTTCAAGTCCACGGAGCACAGAGTCCTGTGCGAGTTACTGCGTACTTCAAAGATGAGCTTAAAAATCAGCTCCTATCAGACAGGATCATCTTTAACCTTAACCAAAATAATGACTACCAGGAGATGAAAAAAATAATGGTGAGTCTGCCATCACAGTGATGTACATTTTTTTAATTAAGTGATAAAAAGCACATAATTTGTACTAAGAATAGATTGGGACAGAGATAACACTGATTCCTAGAGACACTGGTAGAACACCATTTCCAGTGACAGTTGCACCATATTCACCCAACCAGCTAATAAAAGAACACCTAATGGAATTTAAGTGGTGGTTTTAAGTGCGCTTTTGTGCCCAAATAACAAGCTCAAGATTTTGTCACATGGTGATAAAATAAGTTCAGTTTAATTGTTTTATCATTGTTGTTCTGCATCACTTAAACTACGACTGCATTCATATCTTTGACTTACTACTGGTCATGTTACAAAACAGGAGAAACCTTTAAAAATGTGTTGTCTCTCAGAACAAAGCCTGTGTTGCTTCTGCAAGCTCTTAAGTGGATTAGTTCTTTACACCCTGCATTGCATCATTTGCTTCTGCCATGATTCTTTGAAGTCTGGCAGGATTTTGTTCAGTAGCACTGGTTTGGGCTAGTTGGTTGGAAAACATCACAGCAATACTTATTTCAGCTCTGATCAGTTTCCCCCAAAGCTAACAGCTGAGCTTTCAGATCAGGTTCCTGTTGAGGGTGATGCTTAGAAGCATCACATAAAACTGCATGAAGTAAAGCACCAATCTCACAGACAAGATTTTAGCATAATACGGATTACAGGATGCATGGTGACTGGAACTCAACAAGCATGTAAATTGAAGAAAAGTCACCAGGCTTGAGTTATTGCCTTTGAACAGAAGAAAGTGTATTTCTATGATGGAAAATAAAGGATTAGATAGTATCTATACTTTAAAAGAAATATTCATCTAGGAAGAAAGATATAACCCTCAGTGAGAAAGATATAATTGAGAATCTTCTCTTGAATGGTGCTAATAAAATTATTTAAGCACTTCAGGTGTTTTGGGGCATCATCTATGTGGCCCCAAAGTCAACAGGCTCATCTGTGACTCTGTGGATTTTTCCCTTCTGTCCTCTTCAGGTCAAGCCAGGGACTCTGCAACAGAACTTGTTCAAGAAGAGTAATCAACCATATGTTCTGCTGGTCACTGAAAGCAGGGAGCTTCCTAAGGCTGTTCAGAGCATTCGCATCCTCCTGTCCTCCAAGAAAGGCTACATTTTTATTCAAACAGACAAGCCTATATACACACAAAGTTCCAAAGGTTAAAATACAAATGCTGCATTTTGAATGTTGAATATAGATGTTACAAGGGCATGATTAGAAAAAACAACAATGACTTGATCCTTCCTGCAGCCAGGACTTCTGCAGGGTCTGGACTGTGCATTGTAGCAACCTTTGTGGAAATGCCACTGGAGCCAAAGAGTCATTCTAACAGGAGCCAGACAAAATCTGCTCTTTTTTATTCAAAAAGCTTAATGACAACATTCCTTTGGCAAACAAATTTGTGAGAAACCTGCAAAAAACCAAAACTCATATTGGTCCTGCTTGCGCCACCAGCAATGTGTCCTTTGCTCTTTAAGACCACAACTGCTTTCTTACCTAACAATTTCATTAAGTAATAAGAGATGGAAGTAAATAGAGTTCTTGAGTTTGGTTTCAGGCCTCGATTGCAGAATGAATATAAAAGTGAGTAATTTTCAGGACTTGCTTCAAGAGATTTTCTGGTCAGGTAACATGCAAAGCCTGTGGGAGAATGTAATTCTTTTTTGAAATTTCTCAGACTTATTTTCATTAACAGAAATTCAGTAAATACTAAATTCAATAAATACCAAACTCAGTAACTCATTTTACAGCTTGTAATAATTACTCTCTAGAAAGGCAAAAAAAAAAAATATGTGACTGTATTTATTCCTCTGTTAAACAGTAAAATACAGGATCTTCATTCTGGACAATGCTATGAGGCCAACAGATGACACGGTTACAGTTGCTGTGCTAGTAAGTATGCAAAAACACTGTTGATGAGTTCTTCTTCAACACAGGAAATATGAATAACTTGCACAAAAGATGTAAGAGCAAAACTATAGCTTTGACTCCTCTCAGTGTTTACATATAGTAAGATATTTCTGGTTGGTTTTGGCTGATATCAGGAGCATGTGAATATTAAAGTAGGAAAGTCAGAGAAGAATTTTCTCTTCCATAGGAGTAGTATACGAACTTGAACTTCTGGATGTAAATGTTTGACACCTGGTGCATAATTTCATGTTTACTTTCTCTGTCTCAACAGAATTCAAAAGGAATGGTGGTTAAAAAGTCAGATCGGAAAATAAAGGCAGTGTTCAGTGAACATTTTGAAATACCTGACGTTGCTGAGTACGTTATTGCTGTGCCTTGTGTATGAAAACCTGTAGATTAAGATTTTTAACTGCTGAATTGCTAGAATTACTTTTCAGAATTGTCCTTCTCTCACCATAGGGCAAAGATTGAGCCTATGGTTAATATCTTTTTACCTTTAAGCACCTCATCTTGGAGACTTGAGTCCAGAATTTAATGTTAATATCCTGTAATTAGCAGCATGTATCCTGATAGGGGAAAATTAAAAAAACTGCGTACATATCTGCTCCAATGTATGGCTTCATTCAAGAAAGCACTTCTGCAAGAGCTTAGTTTGCAAAGTGTCGTTAATTATATTTTAATTATTAAATATTAATCATTTTAGGTCAGGCTTTTACTTAATATTCAGTGTGTTCTTGCATGCTAAGTTGATTTTGATATCACAATGAATATAAGCTATAGGAAATATTTGATGAGTGCTCTATTTCTGAGGACTTTCAAAGGTAATACATGTTACATGTGTTTTGCAAATATGTTATCTTGTACTTCCTCGTACAGTTATTTTGAGTGTTTTCTAGGACATTTGGAAATATATTGCTGGCTCCTCCTAGCAAAGAGAAATCCATTAATAAATTAGTTTGGGATGAGATCAAAGTAAGGAAAATATTAGTGTTTACTGATAATTATATATTGGCATTATCAAATATCTGAGGAATCCTAATTAACTATTTTCTACTGCATCTGAACTTTAGGCCTGGAACTTGGAAAATCAAAGCCTGGTTTCACCAACATGAAATGTCTAATGTTTCCGCTGAATTTGAAGTTAAAAAATATGGTAAGAGAATATTAAATTTGCATTTTGAATATATGAAGTTACCACTATGTGTTAAAAGATATACTGCAGTGATTAAACCTGGCTCTACTTAGGTAGTAAGGACAAATTTTACAGTGTTTCTGTGCATCATTGCTATCTCTGATGCACAGAAGGAAAACTCTGGTTTTGGTATGACTTCCACTTGTATTTAAAAAGAGAAACACCTTTATTTATATACAGATTTAGTATCTTTTTTAACATTTTTTTAACATTTTTCACCAAACATTGTAAGGGCTCTCCTACTGCAGAAAAAAAAGAATGAGATGAGCTCCCTTTTAAAGTCATTGCAATTCTCCCAAAGTTTCCAGTGAAGACTACGATGAAAAAAAACCTGCCTGTTTTCTCTCGGTAGAATTCAGTCTGGAAGTTTATGAGATTTCCTATACTCAAAGAAGTTTTTTTTGAGCAACGGTAAAAGCACTGTGGGAAAAGTAAAAATGTAAAAATTTAACAAATTGGGATAAGAAATTGCTTGATTTATTTGCACTGAAATTATGCCTTCTTGTAAAAGTTAGTGTGGGTTTGTTATTTTGTTGGGGTTTTTTTCTTAAAGACAAAAGAAAACCTCGGGATTGTATGAAAATCTCAGTTTAACAAAACTAGTTTTGCCTTAGGTAGCGAATGTAACAGAATAGTGGAGACTACTGCATCTTCCACAAACACCTACATGCAGAATTACCCTGACTATATCTACAGGAGCAAATAGTTTGGCTTTATAGGAGCAAATTCAAAGTGACACAGCTGATGCTGGGGATCTCATGTCCACACTCAACCCATTTCAGGGTGGGTTTACTTCAGACTGCTTCTAGTCCAGGGCACTTAATGCCCAGTAGCAGTTGGAATTTATCTTCTGGCTTAATTTCATTGTAAATAAATGAATAAATTAATTTTGTGGGCTCAAAGACTGCTCCACTATATGAAGCAAAGCAGAATAAGGGAAGATGATTAGAGATTTGCTTCAATAGTTCACTACTGATTCAAACTAAAACATCCCCTCAATGCAGCTGCATCCTCTCAGTGGGTGTTGCCACATGCCAGGAGTTTAAGATATGTTTGAAACTTGCATGTCATGACCTTTCACCTTCTTTTTTTCATGCAGAACTTCCATCTTTTGAAGTCAAACTCATCCCACTTCAGCCATACTACCACATCTGGAATGAAAGCTTTGTGTTTGATATCGAGGCAAAGTAGGTGTGCTCAGAGTCAGGTTGTTTCAGGAGGCAGATAAGTAGATTGTGAACTTTGCAGCTTCTTCCTTTTTCTTGTCATTAACAGTTAACCCACTTCTGTCTTTACTTGAATCTGACTAATCTTACATACTCTCTGTTTCCACTAATGACTTGAGACATCAGTGTAAAATTCTACCTGGGTTCAAGTCCTGGTGATTAAGGTGAGTAAGATTTTCTGAATATTTTAGTTTGCTAGTAAAGGCGACTATTTAGGATTCTCCTCTGTGTTGCTCGGTAAGGTTCCAGGCAAACTGATCACCTGGTTTTCTTTATACTTTTGCTTCTTACATTTAGAAATATTCTAAAGCCACAGATGTGTTATTTAATTCAAGTAGAAATGGATTCAAGTTTGGGTATTTATTTTTTCAAGGCCCAGTGAAGTTTGTAAGCTAGTGCTTGTTTGCAGAAATATTTCCAGGGGAATAAATACAATTAATCGGAGGAGTTTCCATGACCATCACTACACATATGTCTGTTGCTGCACAGTAGTGCAGCACTGGTCTGGATGAGACATGACTACAAGACTGGCCAGACCCTGAGTCAGGGCTCAATGAAAAATAAGTTCTACCTGGTCCCATACCAAATTAGAATGGCATCAAACACAGAGTAACTTAGGAAGTCAGAGAGTGAAAAGTTAACCCATCAAAATATTTTTAATAGTTTTGAAGAATCAGATTGAACTGAAATTGAATAAGCATTTAGTGCTCTGTGGCTCTGGTATTTTTGAGCACGAATTGACAGATCTAAATTTGCTGTACACTAGCAGTGGCTTATCAACATCTTTCAAACCTTCTTGACTGTTGAATTTTCAAGTTTAATAGGAGTCAAAATACTAAGAAACTGCCTGTTGAGAGAATGACTAAATCAGAACTAGATACATTTTTTCTCTTTTTTTCTGAAGAGGAGTAAATTTTATTAAATAACAGCAGGCATGTGGAAGTAGCTGGTCTTTCATAGTTGGGAGAAATCTATTCAGTTTCAAAGAAGTGAGGAATCTAATTTTTATGTCTTTAAAAATCAGAAATTAATATTTACCAGTACAATCAAACAGAGAAGGGGTTTAGGATATTGTCAAACACACTGGATAGTTGATATGGAAGAATACATCTCCTGAAATAAGGTACTCTGTGTTATCTACATAATACTGAATTAGTTATTCTGTTTATTTCTCCCTAGGTAGACAAAAGCTCAGATTCATTTCCAGGCAATTTTGATGTGTCAGGGAAGAGCTGACCATGCAGTATCAGCAAGTAGTGTTAGACTGCCACTAAGAACAACTCCTTAAAACAGAAATCAGCACCTCATGGCTTTTGAGGTTGATTCACCATATCCCTTAACATTCTTTAGCACAAAAGCAAGAATAGGATCACACAGAGTTATTTCAGCCCGTACTCTTAAATATATGTAGTGCTATACAGCGGGCAAATTTTTTGTATGGTAACAATAATGCAAGATAGCGGAAAGTGAACTGTTTATATTTTATTACATAATGATTATTTATTTTTGACCTGTAAAGCTTATTGTTTCCATTAACTTTTAGTATTTTGACTATTAATGGTTTGCAATTATTTTTGAATAATATGTAAATATACACGTGACATTGTTCGGAGATATTTTAGCAGAGAAGTTCATTCTTGTAACTTACTAATTCTATAGAATAACTTGTATAGTTTTATAAAGGTATTTCATTAAGTTTCCTAGGCAAAACCTCTTTGAGTATTGTCTTTTAGAAACATACACATAATTGAATAGTATAAGAATATCTTATTGATAAGTTACCATTGCACAGTTTGTGTCTATCTTAGTAGTTGATGCAAATAGAAGAGAGAAGACAGTCAATACAGAAGGGAGGAAAGATCTAAGTATAGAAATTGCTAAGGTAATATGCAAATAAGAATAAAAAATCCTGCTCTATACAACCAAAATTTGAGCCTTTATTAAGCACTGACAGTAATTAACCATAGAAGTAATTTGGCTTACAGTAACCTTTAGTTAAATAGGAATTAATTATTAACATTTTTCAGTGACCAAGGAGGCCAATGGCATCCTGGCCTGTATCAGAAATAGTGTGGCCAGCAGGATTAGAGCTCAGCACTACATTGAGGTGCTGGAGCATGTCCAGAGAAGAGCAACAAAGCTGGTGAGCTGGGGTTGTTTAGCCTAGATAAAAGGAGTCTCTACAACTCTTTACAACTACCTCAAAGGAGATTGTAGTGAGGTGGGGGTCAGTCTCTTCTACCAGGTAACAAGTGACAGGACAAGAGGAAATGGCCTCAAGTTGCACCAGGGGAGGTTTAGATTGGATATTAGGAAAAATTTCTTCACTGAAAAGACTGTCAAGCATTTGAACAGGCTGCTCAGGAAGTGGTAAAGTTACCACCCCTGAAGATATTTAGAAGACATGTAGATGTGGCACTTAGGGACATGGTTTAATGGTGGACTTGGTAGTGTTGGGTTAATAGCTAGACTTTTTCCAACCTTACTGCTTCTATGGTTCTATGTGAGTGCAGGTGACTAATGCATCATTACTACTGTGACCATTCATATTTCACCTTGTGTTTGACTCTAGAAAGCCCTCCAAATTAAGAGCAGCAAATGAATTATTATTTTATTCAAATATTATCCTTATGCAGTAGGAACTTTGTCTGCATTTCAACATGATACCAGAGAAATTATTTGAGCCACCTGGTCAGTCAATTAAACAGTTCCAGCTGGTTCCCAAGCCCCAGAGCTTAGTTGCCAATGGCTCAGCTGGTGCATGGCAAGGGCTTGACCTCCTCCATGCAGCACTCCCCAGACAATTTCTGAACCTTTTTAGGAAGAAGCACGAACCAAGGTCAACCCAAGGTATTTATGTGACCACTTTGCTGTTTAGTAGAGTGGGGATGGGTTGAGCTCTGCAGTACAACAGCACTGTACTCGTTTAATTTAATTAACCTGGTCCAAACAGAGCACAGTCGTTAGATTTGCTACATGGACCCTGTAACTGTATCCAAGTGGAATACTGATCCCCCATTCCCCCTACTTCTTATCTGGGTTTATTTCTAATCTAAATTTATGCCTGACCAGTGTATATCCTGTTGGACTTCTGCTCTCTGCCCTTAACTCTGCTGGTCCTTCCTTCCCCAGCACACCTCGAGAGAGCAGACAGAATCCTATATCCACTTCTTTTTGCTTGGCTGAACTCAACTCTTCTAATCTCCTCTTGATCACCTGCAATTCTTTATTTGGTTCTATTGAATTACTAGCTTTAATCATGATTGCTTGGTACTGTGATATGAAGTAATATCAAATCACTGGCTTTAATTTTAATCCTTTCTAAAATTTTCTCTATGCTATTGCAGCACTCATTTTTGAGTTTATAAACTTCATATATATCTCAATACTCATTAACATCGCAATTATTTAAGAAGAAAAATTAGGTCTTAATACCTGCATATAATTCTTTTGTCTATTGGAAAATGTCCTAGTGGTGCTGCCTGACTTTCATCAAAATCAACATATGGAATTCCTGATAATTGAACTTATTTCTCTGAACTGGCCATGCATGTAATAAAGTTACTTGGTATATTTACTATTGTTTCCCACCGTTATTAGTTCTGGAATTTAATGGAGTTTTCATAAGAACTGTGTCTCAGTTGCTTTCATTGGTATAGATCAGTGCTGCTGATCGGGTCAATTTGAAAAAGGCTTTGTTTAAACAAAAATAAACCATTACAGAACTGAGATAAAGCAGGATTTCCACAGGCAAAAGACAACACTATGGCCATGACAAGTCTCATGTAGCACAGGTAGCATCCTCCACTGTGCTGCCAGAGGATTCCATCTGCCAGGGTTTCCTTGAGTAAGGAGCCAGGTACAACATGTCCTACATGCCCTATCCTCTCTCTCCATGACCTATATGCAACATCCAGGGGTGTTCTGGACAGATACCTATCTGGCAAATATTTCACTTACAAGTGAACCTTATGCTATACTGCCTCAATCTGTAGGGGAGATGTAGGGTAGAGGGTGTCTACTGTACCTAATGCATGTATTAAAATATCAGTTGGTAGGATCTGTCTCTGTACATCTTCAGAGGAACTAAATACTTCATATCAGTCCCTGAAATGATTCTCTGATCCCTTATTTCAAACGCTTTTCTCATGAGGTGTCTCATACAAAGGAATTAGCTGTGCATCGAAGCTAAAGAAACTGGATACCTCCCTTGCTCTCTCTGAGGGGGATGAGTTGTGTGAGACCTCACTGTGCAACTAAAGCTCTTGTTAATTCATTAAAAAAAAAAAAAGTTTTGTTTACTCTGGTACAAATTTTGTCAGATGGTGTCTCGACATGTGATTCTGCCGACATGATTTACTCCATATATATGTCTGCTTTTGAAATCACTACTTGGTAAACATGTCAGTAAAAGTCTTCATGTTTGAGTTACAAGTGAGTAGGACTAATTTTTGTTTTCAAGGTATTAGTTACAGATGGGATGCCTACAAATATTCCAATTTTATTTCAACATAAAATGATGTCTGATTTATGCTTGTTTTTTATTAAGACAAAAATTCACCTCCTTGCTTTTCTTCCTTTCAAAGACACTCTTATGGGAAAGAAATTCAAGGTGCTGCATATGTGCGATTTGGCATCATTGATGAAAATGAAAACAAAGTGTTTGTTCCAGGCCTGGAGCAACAGCTATCTGTAAGTATTCAGTGGAACTATTTTGATTTATTGTACCTAAGCTTAATATTGTCAGAAATTCTGGAAACTTAGAACCCTGCAATACCATAGTCATGATATAAGCAACACTTTTTATTTCTAATGGCAACAAACCAGTAAAGGGTTGTCACTTCCCCTTTTTTTTTGATTTTCTTTTTTTTTCACTTTTGTTTTAGATTCAAAACGGGAAAGGAAGAGTCACTTTAAATACACTACTTTTGGAAGAGAAATTAAGGAAGAGCGTTTCCACTCTGGAAGGGTTTTGTTTATATGTTGCTGTTACCACTGTAGAAACTGCAAGTGAGTACACTATGCCTTAGCTGATACAGTCTGTAATATTTATATTGGCCTTTCTCTACTGTAATCCTTCATGTGGGAAATCTTGTGCAACTGGATCAATCTTTGCTGCAAAGCTTCCTCATCCTATAGTGCCTGACAGCCTCTTTCATCTGACTCCCTTCTGTACAAAAACTTCATTTTGTGTGGTATTCACTTATCTGAACCCAAATATCCTGACCACTTTAAATGCCCTGTGGTCCTGTGTTGTCTTCCATTGCTGCTCCAGAAGTACTCAGGTCTCCTGTGAGTACTGTCCTATGGGGTCTGTCCCACATGAAATAGCTCTGTGAGGATATCTGAGATATCCTAGTCCCTCTGAAGTGGCATCAGACACATGTATGAATGCAAATAAATTAATCCCCATAAGATCTTGTTGATCAGTTGCCCTAGCCACCTCCATTCCTTTCATATATATAAATTTATTAGTTGCACTTGATAACTTAGCTTGCTTTGTACGTCAGCAGGCTAAACTGTCAGGTTAGAGGTAAGGCATATGTATTAGAGCCACAGTGCAATGCAGAGGAGGATCTAACCCTTGTGAGTCCTGTTTGTCCTCTTATGTCCCACAATTTTATTAGACTGTGGTACTTGGTATATGTGCAAGCACAATATAGTCCAAATTGCTTGGTCTTGCTGTTCATCTGAGACATGAGCCTGGAGCATGTCTTCCAGAGTTTCTAATGGTTGCTTGCGATTGTTCTTCTAGGAAACAGATAGTAACAGGTAATAATGGAGCTAACTTCTGAAGCTAAATCTGTGACAAAGCTGACCTTTCCAACAGGGGCAAGATTTTTATTTTTCTTCGTAGGGAAATTGATCCCCTTTATTTTAGATATGTGAACGTAAAGTCAGAGCTCTAGTATTTTGTGTAGTCAGTATAGAGAATGGATGGGTTAAACTGCACTCCAGAGGTGTCTGTTCCCAATAGCTATAGAAGGAGTCTAGTTACTTAGCTTAGAATTACAAGAATTCCATAAATTCCTAAAAATCCTATACATTAAGTAGGATTCCTTAAAATCCTAAAATTAAGCCAGATTCATTGCAGCTGTGCAGTTCTTTAGTATTACCTACTATAGGTGCTAGCATGCACTATTGCCACAACATTTATGGCAAGAGCAAAAGGGGCTGGAAGTACTCCTGTTACTCCTGCCCATCACGATGGGCACAAGATCTCATGGTGAGCCATGGTCTCTACCACGCTGTGCATGCTGCCTCTTTCTGCCACAGGCAGGCTCCCCTCACACTTGTGTACTTGCTGGGCTTGGTACTAATTACATGCATGACAGGGAAGGGGTAGTGGGCTTTACTGACACCTCTCAACCTTGGAGAGCTAAAGTGGAAAATAAGGATGTTGAAACATGTTTCTAAATGCATTTGGTTTAAAACAAGTTGTGCAACTAGTTTCTTTAGATATAGTTATTGGTAGTGGTGTAACTAGAAGAATTACTGTTTTAGCTAGAAGAATCTTAGATGGAAAGCAGTTGCTCAAGCTGCAAGTTGCAGAAGATGGCATTAGGTAATATTAACTCTCACTAGTAGCTGAAAATGAAAAAAAAATCTTTCAGAAAATTAGAGATCTAAGGTCCCAACCCCTCTACCAGTTCTGAGTAACTTCTATGTCAGTCTTTGATGGAGCCTTTCCCCAGGAACGGAGCCCCAACAGCTCAGAAAGGGAGGTGTGTGGCTGCAATGGCTCCTGGGGTAGTGTGCCCTTTGTTTGCAGGTACTTTGTTCCAATTGATGTATTAGAGACGAATTTTTATTCATCCTCTTCTAAAAACTGAAGCTCTTGTGTGGGAATCATATTTCACCTTCCTTTATATATGCTGCTAAAGGTGAAACTAATCTTGGAAACAGAAATGAGAGATGTTGTGGTTATATGCAAGTACGTAGTTATTGCCCTCATAGCAACATGTACTGTTTGATATTAATAGGTGGTGAGATGAGGGAAGAGGAACTGAGCAATGTGAAGTTTGTGCAATCTCCTTATGCTGTTGATCTGTCTAATACCAAAAAGAATTTTGTGCCTGGAGCCCCCTTCTCTGTTGTGGTATGTAGTATTTAGCTGATTGTATCTTTGCCTCTAAAGAAATGCATTTGTATCTGCCCTTTTTCCTTGTCTGATCCAATGGGAGCTCTATAGGACAGAGACCTTTAGGAATAGATCCAACACAGACCTACAGTTTGTGTCTGGTTTGTCTTGTTTCTGTACACTCAGAGCCTGAGCAGCCAGAAAATGCTGGTTTTCTGCTCTGGAAGTCAATGCGTACTGTTGTCCTACAAGGTTTTATAAAACAGCAATCTCTTCCTCACTTCCATATCAAAATATTAAATTAGTAATATTGTATCAAGTTAGTCCCTTGTCAAATTAGAATTCTGAAAACTAAAACAGCATATTACCTTTTTAAAAAAATGCATTGAAATTTTTACTATTTTAAACTTCACACCTTCAAGTTTTTCTACAGAGTTTTCTACAACAAGTTAAAGTCATAAATTTACCTTATAATAGTTGAAGACAAATGTCTCTGGGATCAGCATAGACCAAATAGATGCCAAGTAAATATCTAGGACAGCTCTTAATCCTTACTGACAGATTTTTACCTTAGCTGGAGTCCAGACTGAGTCGATTTCTACCCCCTTCTCCCAAAGCTCAAATTTTTGAACACTAATGTGTACACTTTTGTATTTCTTCTGAGTTTATAAAAATAACTGCTTCTTATTTGTAAGCCTTTTTTAAACCCAGGATTTCCTTTAAGTAACAAAAACTTTTTTTTTCCAATAGGCATCTGTCACTTTGGTTGATGGTTCTCCTGCTGGCTCCCTTCCTGTCACTGCTACTATTACCTTGCCTGGAAAACCCCCAATGAAGAAGACTGCACTCTCTAATAAAGAGGGCCTAATCCCCCTTACATTTGACATCCCCAGAGATGCCCAAAGGCTTGAAATAATGGTAAAGAAAACCCAAACATCCATATTTAAAAGTATACCACTGGGAAGAACTGAGAACACAATTACAAATGACTGTGAAAATGATAAGTTTTCAATAAATTAGCACAGAGGGTGGAACATCATATTTTACACCATCTGTAGAGCTTTATTCAGACTGTGTAGGATATTTTAAAGAGACCAGGGGCCTGAGGGATGTCTCACTGACATGAAAGGCACTCTAGTACATCAGAGCCTTGGGGATACATGTGTTGGTTATAGTGGTGCACTTTTTCAGTGTTTTGATGTTCATTTTCCTGGCATGAAGGACAGAAATGGGACTGTAAGGTCTCACCATGGAAAATGATAGGAAATTATGAGAAGAGGGTGAAGAAAAAGGTCCTGAGCAATCCAGAGAGTAGGCTACATCTGCCCACTCAGGGGGTTCATTTAAGTGTACAATATAAAATGGGAAAAAAACTTATCTGAGTACAAAATCACTTTTGAGTCATTTTGAGGCATTATTTCTCATTCAGAAGAGCCAAGAATGAAAGATACCAAATTAAAATGGAACAAGAGACAAAATGGGGTGAGAGAATAAAATAATTAAAATCCTGTTTTTTGATGAGAGGTTCTGCTAATGAGGTCTTGGCAATGATTCATCTCACTTCACAGCATTTTCCAAATAATCCGTCAAGATATGAATTAATGGTGACACTATATACTATCTCCTGCGGGACACTTGATTCACTCTGTCTTTTTCTTCCCTGATAGGTAAAGGCTGAAGAGGGAAAAGAAAAATTAGAATCACCTGAAGCCAGTATCAGAGTTGAAAGATACCAGTCTGCTTCCCCAAACTACCTAAGCATCAGCATCCCACATGCTGTTGTGGCACCTGGAGATACTTTACACATCACTTTGAATGACATTCATCAGTCTGGCAGTGGAAAGATTGACTATTTCTATTATATGGTAAACAAAATAGTATCATATCAGTAATTTCTTTTAGGAATTATACATCTCAGAATATTTATCAAGTTATTAATGTCCAGCAAAGGGCAAGTGAGACAGTGTTCTGACTGTCTCACTGTCAGACACAATCAGTTTCTGGCACACCTGACCCACCAAGACAAGCTGAAGGAATTGGGCTTGTTCAGTTTAGTGAAGAGACTCAGAGTGAGTTACTAGTAACCTAAAATTACTTGAAGAGAAATTACAGACATAATGAGAGAAAAACTTTCAAACTTTAATGAGAGGCGAACTTTCCTAGATGGTGCCATGCAAGATAATAAGGGACCAAGGCTAAAAATTGTGGCCTGGAAGGTTCATTTTGGAAAAATCTATTCACTAATGATGAATGCAATACTGGAAGAGATTCCCCAGAGGGTTTAGGTACTTTCCGTTCTCAGAAAAATTCAACACTCAACTAGAGAAAAACCACATCTGACCTAACCTTAAACTGGTGATGTCTTGTCTTAGAGCAGGCAGTTGGACTAGAGATCTCCATAAGTCCCTTCCAGAAACTATTTCTATAATTCTATTATTTTTTTATATTTTTATATATTCTGGGGCATGTAATACATGAATCTCTGTAATTTTTTTTCCTGAAGAAGGACATGTAAGTATAAATTTTAGTCTGTAGTTTCTAATGCAGTCTACAGCAAATAGATCCATATGGGGTAATGTTTGTCTGCATAATTATGTGGATATTTTTGAAAGAACTGACAGCTTTGAAAGCTGAAATCCCAGGCAGATAACTTTTATGATATCTATAACAATTATATCTTAATCCAAATTTCTCTTAATCCAGATCTTGTTCTTTCACACTCCTTCCAATCTGTATTCTTTCCTCATAATATTGTTTTTATAGGTCTGATTCCCATAAATGCTTTTTTTTTTCCCAGCTATTACAGAACTGCCCACCTTGCTGTGGACAGATTATATATATACATAAGGTTTGGACCCTGCAATTAGAAAATCTAGTCCTATTCTAGGGGATGTTGAATATATAAAAAATGTCTTTTATAATTAACTACTGGGTTTTTTCACAAATAATACATGATTTTTGTATTACCATGGCTCCATATTACCTCCTTTTGGTTTAGTTAATCAGTAGGTCAGTGTTATCTCCTACAAAGATTGTCGTGAATGATACTGAAGGCATTGGCTGTTACGACCCTAAATTACATTCTACAACTGAAAAGCAGATCTGTAGATAGAAAAGTGAGGAAACCATCTTACTCAGCCTGTGATCAGGAATGCACAGTATTTATTTTGCTGAAGGAGACAAATATATTCATGGGTACATTTCAGGAGTGAATCTTTTGGACGTGAAATGTGTTTAATCCTCTTCTCCCTCTCTTCATCCTAATTCTTTTGGCAGCTTAAATTTCCCAGGATGATAAACACCACAGACACCAGTTCCCATTTATTTTTAATAAGACTCTCATATATTGTAATAATTGTATCCCTAGGAGTTAAGTTTAGATTTGTGGGTTAATTTTCATTGGATGACTTAGCAGAGGTTTGGAATTGGTGTTGCCAGGCTCTGGAAAGACATAGTGCTGGTTAGGCAGGGTGTGTGGGAGATGTGGTGAGAGACACTGCTAGAGAGCAGCAGCAAGGCTTTCTCCTAAACTTTGGTCATCTAAATGAGGGCAGCGAGGATTTCAGAGAAGGCTGCAGCATGTATTTGTATCTTCCAGAAGCCCATTCATTGTGTGTTTAGGAAAACTCCACATGTTTTGTTCAGGGAAGAACACTGTCAGTCCTGCCACTGTGTCTGTTTTTCATTCCATTCAATTTAATATAATTAACATAGTGTGAGAAGAAAGGCATTAAATAGTGAAAGATGGGCTGAAATCAATTAAAGGCTGTGATATTTTATCCTGAATAGTAGTTTTTGGATGAAACCTGTTCCAACCTTTTCACACTATCTGAAAGATTCAGTACTAACTACAGATTAAGTAAAGCTGATATCCTTGTGGGGGTGATGATCAGTCATTATAGAAGACAAAGATAAGACTGACATCTGGGTACCTCTTTTCAAGCTGTAAGATTGAGTGGAGGGTGGCATATTTGTGTTCAAACCTGGGCCACAAGACCATTGCAGCAGAGGCTCACCACCACACTGTGTGCTAGTCTCTTCCAGGCTACTTGTATACGGGTTAAGAATTAAAACTGTTAAGTGCCATTAGAACAGAATATGTTTTAAACAGAAATCACTTCAGAAAATTATATCTATGTATATATATGCATATATGTATGTGTAAAATTATGCAACAAAATGCTCATTCTAGGGTATATTCGCAGTATTTTATTTATGTTTGTTTCTGCCTCGCAGGTTGTGGCAAAGGGACAAGCTGAGCTTTTGGGGAGGGTCCCATCCTCAAAAAAAATAATAAACCTTAAAATCACAGAGAAGATGGTGCCTGCCTTTCGCTTTTTAGCCTACTACTTCATTGCAAATGAGGACCGTCAAGACATTGTTGCCGATTCTGTATGGGTGGACGTTATGGATGTCTGTGAAGGAAAGGTACCTCCAGAGCTTGTAGCTTCTGTTATTTTATCCAAATTGAAAACAAAAACATGGGGTATCAGCAGAGCAAATGCAGGCCTGGGGTTAAAAAGTGAAAGACGTATCATTTTTATTGAAGAAAGGGAGTCATCAGGATTCGTGCTGAAAGGTATAGCTTGAAAAGACTCCCAAGAATGATGGCAGAAAGGCTTCCAAGAGTGACAAAAGAGATATCCTTCTTCTGCAGGACAGGCTGTGCCTCAAAAAGATGAAGAATATAGTTTTGTAGAGATAAAGCCCCCCCCGTGAGTGTCTATATGTTAGAAATCTGCAGTGAAACACCAATAGAATTGTTGAGGGGCAGAATCTCTTTAAACTTTGTCTTTTTGTAGTAAGGTGTGCCACATGAAAGAAAGTGAAGCCACGTATTGGGAAAAAAACCAAATTCAAAGTAATTTTTCAGGGTTTTTGATTTCTTTTAAAAGTAATTTTCTGAGATTTTGTAGCATTTCAAAAACACTTTTAAAAAGTTTAAATTAGAAAATGAAGTGTGGGTAAAATAGGAGTCCCTCTAAGCCTTCCTTTCACTTTCCTCCTCCTCCTTTGTGGGACCATAAGGTAAAATGAAAAAAACATGACAGGAATTTTTCCTAATAGCATGAAACACAACTGCTGAAAAATGTCAGCCGTCTAAAATTATATTTTACAATTAAAATATTTGTTTTGGAAAAAGAATGTGATAGTCTATAGGGAAGAAAAAGTTTTCAAGAAAAATTATCTATCTCTAAAACACAAACCAATTCTTCATTTATGCAATGACAGAAGTCAGTTACGGTCAAGCTGGCATATCTACTACGGATTCCGTATTAGTTTCATAATCATCGTTCCTACTCCCTCCTAAACCACAAAGTGTCTACATTAGAACCAGATCTGAGTTTACCCAGTCACGTTAAAAAACAAGAGTGTGCAATAGAAAGCAGGTAGTATTATTACAGACTGGTTTAAGTCAGTTAATTTTGTACATTAATTAGTCTTTTCCTGTATTTCATGGCAATTTTGTTTCCACTGGAAAATAACAAAATTATGTTGAAGACCCTAGTTCAGCAAATCCCTTACACGTACTTTTAATTCCTGTTTGTGCTTATTCATCATTGAAAGTCAGCGTCCAGTATTCTGCAAGACACATCTTTTAGTTCCCCATGATTTCCTTCAGTGAGAAATATCTGCATCTCCGTCTTCCAAAACACAGGATCCCAGGCAGAAGCACCACAAAACAGAAGCATCCCCCAGCCTCTGACTGCTGACAATCACAGCTGACAGTATTCCTGGCCCAAAGACTCTTCGCTTTTTATTAACAAATTTGATATTTTTTGTTTCAATCTTTTCTGTTTAGATTAAAGTGAGAACAGAACAAGAGATATATGAACCAACAGATATCATCAATTTACAGATTGAAACGGACCATGCGGGAAAAGTTGCCTTAGCTGTGGTTGATAAAGCAGTTTTTATTCTGAATAAGAAAAATAAGCTTACAGCCAAAAAAGTAAGATATTTCTAAGAAGAAAATTTTGTATCTACTAGTCAAACAAAATTTTCCATGACTAATGTGACGATCAAAATGTAATTAATGGCTATTAATTGCTTAAACACTGATTTGCTAAACTTGAAAATGTTTTTTTCTTTTGCAATTTATTGTCTATTTAAGATGAATGGTATATTTAAGATGGGAATTTTCATGCAATGGCAGACAAGTCTGTAAATTAAGATACCATTGCTTGAAATCACTTCCTAACTAAAACATTCCTTAGCTCTAATCTCAGTTTCCAAATGCAGCTTGTACCTCCAGTTTGCCTTGCTTCTGTGAATCAAAGGCTACAAGAATTTTTCTAAAATATATATATAAACCCTTTACAAGCCTGTACAGTACATCCGTACTATTTTATTTGGCAGGTATTTAATGCTATGAATTCGTATGATCTTGGATGTTCTGCAGGTGGTGGCTCAAATAATGTTCAAGTTTTTACTGATGTTGGTCTGGCTTTTTTATCAGATACAATTCAATCCAGCATTCGGGAAGGTAAGTGCAATCTGCCCTCCACTTTACGTGTTTGTTTACACTGTAGATCTGGTGAGGTTGATTGCTTCAAAACCAGAAACATTTTATTGTGATGTTGTAAAATCTCCTTTGCTTCTGGATTTTTATTCTTCTGTTCTTCCACTGGATGCTGGAAGATCAGATAGCCCAGATGATGGCTGCTGGTCCTTTGGTGACCACCTCAAATGGGGCAGGCAGCAGTTGGCCAGGGCTGGAAGGTAACTTGACAAACTGTGGGTCTTCTGTGACTGAGATGGGTCCTGAGATGGGTCCTAAGATCAGTCTTCATGAATGATGTGAATGATCAGGCTGTTCCTGTCATGTTATCGTGACAAACTCTTCTATTCTGCCTTCCCAGGATATAAATGCCTCCATGGCACCAGAAGGCAGAAGAGATCTTTGGATTTTCAGAAGAAAATGTCAGGAATTGGTATGTCTGCTCATCTGGGTGGCCTGAAAGGCTTAGCAGGAGAAGGCAAAGGAATCTGACTAGGATCTAAGGGAGCAAGAAGTGATGGCATAGTAAGGGATACCAAGATATTCTTAGTCCCAGTTCTTGCATTAGGTGACATAACCTAGCACAAGTCTTTATACTATACTACCTGATGCATCATTCATCAAAACAACTAAACAATAAAGAAACCTGAAAAAATCCCAACTAAACCAAAAAAACTGCAAATGGAAAATAATTCATGACTTTACAATCTCTCAAATGCAAAGTACTTCTACTAGATAAGATGTCATTTAATCAGTCATGACATTGAGGCTTTTCAAAGTTATTTGTATGGCCAGGAAATGTTTCATATATCTTATTTTTTTTCCTTTATATTCTGCTTTAAAATTTTGATACTTTGTGCTTCAATTAAGAGATGAGTTAGTATAATATTTGGTCTAAATTGGAAAAAAAAAATAATTTTACACAAATTGACATCTTCTTGCTGGAAGACATGACAGCTTGAAACTGGCATCTTCCTTACTTTTGAAATCAGGCTCTTTATTTGAGAAGGAAAACACTACCATGGCTATTTCTATTAAGATATCTAATTTCAGCCTGCCAAGGAGGTGTTTTTAATTCACAGTCTGACTGTGAAGTGAAATCTTAGAACAGAATAATTAGGATGCAATAGGGCCTGTATTTTCCTTCTGTGTTTGTGAACTGTTTTTAGGATGGAGAACAGGTCCCTGGCTGAAGGCTTGACTGTTGCAATAAAAACTAATGTTAATGGCAAAGAATGACAGAAGTGAGCATTATGAACACTTTTACACTTATTGCTACTTACACAGCAATAATTCTGGGGTTTAATTGTATTGCAGCCAGCAAATACCAAAACACTGATCTGCAAAAATGCTGTCAAGATGGAATGAAAATAAATCCCATGAGGTTTCCTTGTGCAAAAAGACTAACAAGGGTGTCTGGCTCTCGCGAATGCAGGAGCGCATTCCAGGACTGCTGTGAGAAAGCCACAGCCCTCAGGAAGGAGGCGAAGCGGAGGAACAGAGTGGGCTTGGCACGACGACGTAAAGAACAATGGCATACAAGTGCCACTTCTTTCACACTTCATATGGTGGCAAGGGAGGATTAAAGAGCATTTAGTGCCGTGGGGCTGGGGAGGAAGTTTTCACATCAGCATTGCAGGGGGCCCCAGTATAGTGCAGCACCCACATAGCATTGCATCTTCGCACCTGTACACCGGGAAGGTGGGAGTGGGACAGGATAACTTCTTGGGGTGAGAAAAGGCAGGAATCACTTTAGCCCAGAACAGCCTTGTGGAGGAGCTGTTGTCCCCTGCTCAAATCCCAGGGAGGCTACAGACAGCAGAGCAGTGAGTGGCTCTCTGCATTCAGGGTTCTAGGTGGTCTTAGATTCATGACTATTTTATTAGTGGTAATACTGTTGTAACACCTGAGTACCCCACAGACACCTCGTCATGAGAAGGGGCCACTTTAACCAGGAATAATTTTGTCTCTTCCTTTCTACTCGCCAGAGTCTATCTCTGACCACATGTTACATCTTATCTCATGTTAAAAAAAAAAAATTACCTGGCGTAGAAAATTACCCCTTTCTAAGTGCAATTTCTGCTACAATGTCTCATAGATTAACCCTTTCATTCTCTGTCTTTCACAAATATGGGACAGCAGGAACATCTTTGCTATATATTACTAAAGGGAACTGATTTCTCATTTGGTAGCATATAGTTATTGAACGTGGAAAGAGGAATTATCTTTTGTTCATTGACAAGATTTGGTCAGTGCTTCTCCTTTTTCAATATATTTTTGTAATGTAGAAGATGAAACACAGATGAAATATTTTTATTCAGAGTATTTTTCATGCTCTGACGTGCTGACTCCCTGCAAGACAGTGTAAGGTCAGCAGCCAAAGGCTTCCAGACAGAAACCGTACTCCTGTTTTACAGAATACAGCGACCATGAAGAATTCTTTGATGAAACCTCTGTCAGCTTGCGCAGTTATTTTCCCGAGAGCTGGTGGTGGCATTTTGAAGAAGTGGAAAACCCTGGAAACCATAGGTACTGTACTTCCTGACTAGGTGAATATGTCTAAATTTGTACAGTAAAATATATATAAATATCAGCTTTACATGTTTTCTGATGCAGAGGACTTCAGAATACTTGCAAGTACTTTGTCTCTACAACCAATGGAATATGGATTTTTTTCCTTACAATACTCAAACTTCAGCAAATAACAATGTTTACATTTTATACATTCTTCCTAATATATTTTATCTTTTGTTTCTTAGTGTAGAAAACTTTGCTCCTGATTCAATAACTACCTGGGAAGTTCAGGCAATAAGCATATCTCCCGAAAAAGGTATAAGTATTGGGCATTTTTTTGGTTTCTTTGTATGAACGAATAGACAATGTGTAGTTTTTAAAAGAGAAACACAATGTTATGTTGACAGAGTAAAACAGTCTGTACTGAACAAATGCAAAATGTTCTGATCATGACATTTCCTTCACTCTTTTATGCCATATTAAAGCCCAGCTAGAAGTTATGAGCTAGATTTATAGTTATAAAAGCAACATGAAGTGGGATCTGAGGGAGGATGGATAACACAATCAAAACTGTCTCTTTAAAACACCTTCGTTTAGCTTCCACATAGCCAGGAAGCCACAAGAAAGATAGTGGTAGTAAACACCGCTTTTCTTTGAATAATTCTGGAACCAAGTTCTGGCCATATCAAAGCATGAAAGTCTGTGATCTCTAGGAAGACAAATAAGAGAAGAGCACCAGGAAACAAGCAGAGAACCAACAAGGGCTAGACACCAGAGAGCCCAGGTACCTGGTGCTACTCTGGGAGCTCCTGGAAGTAGACCAGGACCATGCAGGAGGGACAAGGGGTCCTTCTGGTACTGACCACTCCTCTATGGAAAGGGAGTCTCATCCAGGGTTACAGTGATGGATATGGAGTTTATTTTCTGAAAACAAGGAAAGGTCATTGTGTTTTAAACATGGCCTTTGCAGGAAAACTGGACTGTGTTTCACTCACAAAAGTTACAAACACTCCTGCCAAGTTTTACCTATCAAAAATCATGGCAGTGACCCCAGAGGGCAAACCATCTGAGATGGGTCTCTAGTGCAGATGAATTGAAATGCTTTCTGGATATGTCTGTTTTTCTCTCCTGCTCTTGACTTCAGGAGAGCTCAAGCAATTAGTTTCGATTAGACGTTTAACTTCTTATCAGCTGCTGTTAAGGGTGTAATTCTCAACTAATTCTTTGTGTTTTGTGTTTTGTTTTTTTTCTCATCCCAGGGTTTTGTGTAGCTGACCCCCACACCTTTGCGGTTTTCAAAGACTTTTTTGTGTCCCTGAGATTACCGTACTCAGTCAGACGACATGAGCAACTAGAAATAAAAGCAGTGGTTTACAACTATCTGCCCAATGATCTCCAGGTAGTGTTACCAATAACTGCTGTACCATACATTCCTAGCTAGCTAAATCTGTAGTTATGTAGTAATTTAATGTAAATGACCTGGCCACCTTTCAGTGCCCTCCTACAGCCCAGATATAACGCTCCCATCTTGAAAGCTTTCCCAAGGACAGGATCCAGTTCTACTTGGTAATCAAACTTACTGTATAAAACAGATTTTATTTACCATGTTACACAGCTGTATTCCTTGCCTTTGGGTATGACTTCTTCCCCTTCATTGAAGCAATCAGTTACCTTTTAGCTGACTGGTAATCTGGGCAATACCCAGCTGCTGCTATTTCACAAGGCGCTCAAGGTACAGAGGTAAATTGAGCACACAGTCTGATATGCTAGCCACAAAACTGTGCAAAAAATGCAAAGCCACTATGCAGCTCTCCATACAGCCACAGTTGTCACTGGGCTTAGGACCTCTGTCATCCTAAGGCTGATGCTCTTTTTTCTGTATCTTCCCATCTCTCAGTCAGCTGTTTGACCAGCATTTTCTGAACTATGTTGGATGGTATAGAGGGACATATTAAAAATGTATTATCTTTCTTACTTCCCTGTGGTTTGGGGATAGGCCAAAACTATACTGCGAATTCAGCATAATGAAGAAATACTAGCCAATTTATATTCACAGCCCTAGTCAATGTAGATGAATGTTAACACACTAAAGGGTTATAAAACAATTTAGGTTGTAAGGGACCTCTGGAAGTCTCTAGTCCAACCTGCTGCTCAGAGCAGGTCCAGTTAAAGCAGGTTGTTCATGGTCTTGTCCAGTCAGATGTTGAATATCTCCAAGGAGGCAACTCCACAAACCCTTTGGACAAACTGTGCCAGCAATCAATCACTTCTTGATGAAAAGGTTTTCCCATTTTATAAATGGAAAACAGTAAATTCAGGAGAGCAAAGTGAAAAATAATATCTTGCAAAATGTCTTCATTGCTCTTTCCTTTTTAAGCAAAAGCTAGTCTCCTGTTTTACCTGTTTCTAATTACCCGTTCTTATCTAGGCATAGTGGAGCTGGAGTATTTTTCCTGTGCAGTGATGCTCTAAGACTGATCTCAGACATTGCCTTGTCCCCACAGGTAACAGTGAAGATGGATGCAGTGAAGGAGCTGTGCACCGCAGAGACAACAGAGAAGGCTGTGCAGCTGCCACTGGTGGCTAAGGGGAATTCTGCAACACCAGCCTACTTCTCAGTTGTCCCTTTGGCTGTGGGAGAAATTCCAATTACTATTACTGCTTTTGACAAGGTTTCTGGGCATAGTGACAGCATTAGGAAGAACCTCAATGTTGTGGTAGGTATAACTTGTTGAGGACAAGCACTTCACAAATATGTGCTTCTCCCCAAATGTAACACTCACTGTGTGTGAGCTTTCATGAAGGGAGTGAAATGGTACAAAGATAAGACTGGAAGCAATCTCAAGAAGCCTGTTTTTCAGTAAGGAGTGAGGTATAGCATGTGGAAGAAATTTAACCCTATATGTATAATGTATATGGAAATGTTTGTTCTCTATGGCAAAAAGGCATCCCTCTACCCATGACATAGCAAAAACTTCTTCATGCAGCCAGTGCTCATCTCGTAATCTTTGACTTCCACCTGCTTTATCAACATGTATGAAGGCAACCCTGGATGTACGTACAGATTGGGGAATGAGATGGTGGAAAGCAGTGCCATGGAAAGGGATCTGGGGGTCCTGATCAGTGTCAAGTTGAATCTGAGTCAGCAGTGCCCTGGCAGTCAGGAGGGCCAACCGTGTCCTGGGGGGCATCAGGCAAAGTATTGCCAGCCAGTTGAGGGAGGGGATTGTCCCGCTCTGCTCTGCACTGGTGTGGCCTCACCTTGAATATTGCATGAAGGTTTGGGCACCACAATATAACAAAGATATTAAGCTATTAGAGAGCATCCAAAGGAGGGCAATGAAGATGGGGAAGGGCTTTGAGGGGAAGCTGCATGAGGAGCTGCTGAGGTCACTTGATCTGTTTAACCTGGAGGAGACTGAGGGGAGACCTCATTGCAGTCTACAACTTTCTCGTGAGAAGAAGAGGAGGGGCAGGCACTGGTTTCTGCTCTGTGGTGACCAGTGACAGAACCCGAGGGAATGGCCTGAAGTTGTGTCAGGGGAGGTTTAGGTGGGATATTAGAAAAAGGTTCTTCACCCAGAGGGTAGTTGGGCACTGGAACAGCCTCCCAGGGCAGTGGTCACAGCACCAAGCCTGATAAAATTCAAGAAGCATTTGGACAATATCTCAGGCACATGGTGTGACTCTTGGGGATGGTCCTGTGCACAGCTAAGGGCTGGACTCAATGATCCTTATGGGTCCCTTCCAACTCAGCATATTCTATGATTCTGTGATTGTATATGAAAATTCTTCTTCCCTTATGAAGCCAAGATTGAAGATGTCCATGTATCAATATTTTGAGAAGGAAATACTCTCTGCTAGTAATAAATTTAAATTTGTTTTATTCCCTCTGGTTGATGGATCTTCAGTTTTAATGATTGCACAGGTAAAATATACAGGCAAAAAAAATACTGTAAATATTATTAAATAACTTAGTTCTCTTTCAAAATTATAAAAAGGAGGAGCCTTCTAGAAAAGATGACTTTTCAAGAGCCAACACAGACTTATTACAGCACCCAAGTCACCTACTGAGGGCTATTTTCAATCCACAAAAAACCTGCAAAATATGAATCCTTGTACCATTGTAGGTAAGGATAAGGCACAGGATGTTGAGAACCTGCAGTTGTTACAGACCATAACTTTTTTAGAGATAGACAGAGTCTCAGAGTTCAATGCTACAGTAAAACATTAAAAGTAACTGTAAAAATAGCTTTATTAAAACTGAAATTGTAGGAAGAAGGATATGTGGAAATCAGAAGGAAAAAAAGTTTAGATTTTATCAACAAGATGTACTCAGAACTTCATGAATTTCATATTTGAGAGATTTATAAATATGAGTCCCTCATTGAACTTGACTTGCATGGCTCACAAAGCTGAGAATAAACTTTGAAGTTTAATTTTTTGAGGTTAGTTTTATTTAAGGGAATTTCATCCAGGGAAATATTTCAATAGTAACACAAAAAGTCAGTATAGTTTATTAGTATTTCAACTGAGAGATTGTAATTCTGATTTTAAGCTTGAGTTTTCCCTGGAGAGAAATCTCACATCAAAATCACTTATTTGTGCCACCTGCTGGTCTAATGCCAGGATGGAGCTTATGGGTTTTGTGCAGGTTAATTTCAGGTGTGAGTGCTTGCAAACATTCTGACTTTTTCTTTCCTCAATTGTGCAGGCAGAAGGTGTTTTACAGAGAGAAGAGGAAACCATTTGCATTAACAGTGGCTGTAAGTTACAGAAAAGAGTTTGATTCAGATGAGGTTTGGAGTAGAAAGAGGGGGTGAATGATGAGTACAGTGAAATACTTCTTAATGTAGAGATATTGCTTTTGTTAACCAGAACTTATCACAAATAAATTCATCTGGTACCTAGCAAAAGACTCAGGAAAGAAAAGTCATTAAATTCTAAATTTTTAGGATTGATTTATTTTACTTTTTTGTTTCAAAGTAGCATTCTTTAAATATTAAATAAGCCTCTATTTCATCTACTAATGGGTCCTAAACATATTAAAAAGTAGGAGTTTTTTCAAACCTAAAATATTGTTAAAGATTGGAAATTAAATAAATTAAATGAATTTAAAAAATACTTCTTTCCACAAAATTTCATTTAATGTTTCAGATAACATTTCTGTCAAAATTGATGTCAGCTGTGAAATGCTTAAGGAAAAGTATGTTCTAAAATTACACTGTATGTTGTTTATGTTTAAAAAGTCTGGATGTAGATCTCTATTTATTATTTATTTACAGTAAAATCCCATATACTGGACCTGAACAGACCACCAGATATGGTACCGGGTTCTGATAGTCATGTGTTTGTTAGCGTGAAAGGTAAATGTAATTTTTTGTCAACAACTTCTCCGGGTAGCAAGGGACAGGCCCCTCTGTGCTGCTTATTCCTGCATGTCAAATATCCGTTCCCTCCTAGTTTTTCTGTCATGACTCAAATTGTCTGTGCTACGTGACCAGGTCATAAAACAGAACACCCCCAGGGTTGATCCAGTATCTTTTCCTCTTTCTAATTTGCTCCTTCTTACTTGAAATGGATGTAATAGCTTTATATGATCCATCCTCCTCACTGTGCTCAGACTAAAATTATGGGAAGGCCAAAGGTGAAGGGATTCAGCTTGTCTAATAAACCTACACTGCGTTTAGGTTTGTAGAAATCTGCTTTAGCTTTTAGAAATAAGGATGCCAGATTCTGATGTATAAGTTCTGGAAAGTTCTGTTTTTCTGAAGAGAAGATATGTATAATCATACAGTCATTTAATCCAATAACTGTATACATACATATATATATGCATGTATACGTATTTTAAAAACATCTATTAGCAAGCAATTTTATTAGGGATAATTACTCTTTTCCCCAGAAAATGGAAAATAATGCACTTGTGACACAAAGGGTATTGGCTTCCACTTCAAATCCCTGAGCTAAAGTACAGGGATGTGTGAATTCATCAAATGATAAAATTGCAGAGAGAAAAAAAATACACAAAAGGTTTGGCATGATTAATGTACAATCATTCTTCCCCTCTGTGGGAGGATCGTGTCTGGTTTGACAGGAATTGTCCAGCCCAGACCCCATGCACCAATCTTTCCCCCTTTCCTTGCTTCTCTGCCTCCAGCAGCCTTGGGACTCTTTCTCTTTCATACTCCGTCATTGTGCCAGCCTCCTTTCTCCAGCTTTCCCAGGGCCTGGCACCTCATCCTTGTTCTTCTTCAGCTTTACAAAGTCTTAGGTAGCTAAAACCAGTGTTTAATGGTGAGGAGTATCAGGCTATGCTGGAATGTCAACCTATAGTTATTATCACCTTTCTTCGTATTACATCACCCAATTTTAAATATGGTATGTATTATGGCTTATGTTTTTTACAACAGGGAATATTATGGACAAGTCTGTTGAAAATTGTCTTAGTCTTACTGGAGTGGAGAAACTTATTCAAGTGCCCACAGGCTGTGCAGAGCAAACAATGGTCACAATGGCCCCTGCAGTCTATGCTATTGAGTACTTGGATGCCAGTGAGCAGTGGGTGAACTTTAATCCTGAACGGAAGCAGGAAGCCATTAGTATGATTGAACAAGGTATGCAGACAAAGAGGGGGGAAAAAAAACAAACAACCCCCAAAATAACAAACAAACAAAACAAAACAAAAAAAACCAAACCAGAGCCCAAAAGATGGGATTTTTGTTATCATTTTGCACTGCACGCTGATTGTTTTTACTTGGTGAAGGAGTGATCAATGTCACAACCACAAAGAAATGCCTCTTACAATCTGCAAACAGAACTTGTGAGGAGGACTTAAGAGACTATTTGCCAGCATCTGGCAGTGGACAGGTACTGACGTTCACCATCCATCCTCCCTCTTGCCTAATTCAGAAGTAGAAAGTAAAATCTGAGCTGATCAATGTCAGCTCTTCTCAGAGTAAACGGATAGCAAAGGCCAGTCCTTCATTTCCTCCTAATCTACAAGTTCAAAATGGATAAAGATGAATCATGTCCTAAAAAGACTTGTTTCTCCCCACGAGTCACAGACAGTGCTTAGGATGCCCAGTTGGGATGTAGACATCTCTGTCTGTGGCTGTCGAAAGAAGTATCACAAAGGAAATTCCCAGTGCTAATCATGATACTGACACTTTTGCTTCCACACTCCCGTACTCATCATCACATAAGCTAGAATGGCTTCAGCAGCCTTGGCCCAACCCAGGGAGGGAGTTTCCTTAGGGAGAGGACACCTGCAAGTCTTCTCGAAGAGTCTACTCCAAGATGTGATCCAAAGATACTATTAAATGGTAAAGCCAGGACCACAGTATGTGGAAGTGTTCCAGCTCACTAACTCTCAGGCACTAACACAGAGCCTGAGAGTTGCCAGTGTTGCAGCAGGTACAGCTGATCTTTCTTACTGCAGTGGTTTGCTTATGGCATAAAGCAATATTACGTGCCTGTCTTCGTGATATTCAGACATGTGACACACATTTCAACAGTGAAAAATAAGTATATAAATAGAGATTAAAAACATGCTAGCAGTTGCTGCATGGAGGTCTTTGCCTATTTATCTAAGACTGCCTAAAGTGATATGAGATCCTGCTAATGAGTATTTGGTATTATCAGCATCATTTAGTCCCTATATTATGCTTTTATTGATTCTTATTGAAGTTCATTAGTGTAAAAAATGAGTTGTGGCTATGATACAGACTTTGTCAGGACAGCAGCAGTCAAGATCAGAGGCCATGATTTCTGAGGCTGTGTATGATGAAATAGATGATGTTTTGTATACTTTCTGATTCAGTGTGCTATAAAGTCAACAGCTTGAAAAGTTGTCAATAAGAGGAAATAAGTTTCCCAAGATTCACTACACAGAAAATGCTTTGTAACCATAGGTATCTGCAGTTTTCAGGTTATTCTCATGGCTCAATTAAGCCAAACAAGACAGAGGACCTTCTAAGCCTAGTGTTTTTTCTGTGTCAAAGTCTGCTGATGCAGTCATTTCCTCCTTAATGCACCAGTGAACACCTCCATGAACTCTTCCACCAGTCAATACAGAACATATTCATGCTAATGCAAGTGATGTAGGAAAATGCCCAGTAAATATGGGTATTCTCTGAAAAGTTATGTTCTCTCCTGTTCATGCAGGTTATACTAGACTGCTTGAGTTTCAGAAGGTGGATGGCTCCTACGGAGCATTTAAAGAAATCCCCAGTAGTGTATGGTAAGTGATTTTTTTTTCTGTGGTTTTATTTTTGGTTTTGTTTCTTTATCTGGTTGGTTTTTTTCCAAGTTACCTCTATTACCTTTTGATGCATCAGGAGTTTTTCTAGGGGGATGGATTTTCAAGATCTGGTGGACATGGTGTTGCCTATATACCTTTGTCATGAATAGTCAGCCACAAAATCTCTGAGCATGTTCAGTCCTTGATGAAGGAGATTTATACTGAGCCACTGACTATTTTGCATCTGCCACAGGGTAGAAATGGTCATGCTGATGTTGAATAATAACACACTAGGTTCCAGTGAGTGGACTGTATTGAATATGAGTCTGTATACAAAATCAGTATGTTTATTTTCCTGTCGATATAGTTTTCTATAAATAAATGTCAGCACAAGTCTGGAAAATTTTCTTTTGTGCAGGTTAACTGCATTCGTTGTTAAAGTACTCACAAGGTGCAGAGAATACATTGGTGTCCAAGACAATCACATACTCAACTCCATTTCCTACTTGATTAATCAACAGCAGGCAGATGGTTCATTCCACGACCATCACCCCGTATTGGACAGGTCAATGCAGGTAGGTAATCCATATTTAGAAGAATCTGTTGCTCATTTAGGGCTATTAGGGATTCAAAGGAATATTGTGAGTTGTTGAGTAACAAGAAATATATCTAAAGAAAATAAATCTGTAATGTAAAATTAACTTGTTAAAAGGTCTTCTATGTCAGATGCACAGTTAGCACTTCACCACCCTTATCTTTTCATCCAATCTTAGATAATTTTTGCAGCTATGCCTGTAAAGCACTTAGAAAATTAATTGTGAGGTCCATATGTTTGGTAAAAATGTAAGCCTTTTATTGCCAAAGGCAACAGAGCCATAGAATCATAATTTAATTTTGAAGGGACATCCAGAGGTCGTTTAGTCCAAACCCTGCTGAAAACAGATCTAGTTAGATCAGATTGTACAGGGCCATGTCTAGTTGAGCCTTGAGTACCTCCTGGTCTCTCTGGGTAATCTGTTTCAGTATTTCACCACTCTCATGGTGAAAAAAGAAAATATTAATACTTAAGCAGAATTTCCACTTGCATATCTTAGTCTACACATCCCCTATAACTGTCCAGAAACACAACATTCTTATACAGTCCATGAATCTAGACGATGGAAATAATGTGCGTCTTCCAAAACTCATTGAAAATGCAGTTACCTTTGTAGTGACCATATATGAAAAAAACATGTATTAATATTATTAATTATCTGTGTCAAAAAAGTAGTGAGGTTTTCTCCCTCAAGTCCAGTTTTACAGTTGATTTAATGCTGTTGGGGGGGAAAAAACAAACAGCCCAAGAACTGGCCAAAGGGTTTTGATTTTTTTCTGACCTATGTTCATGCTGAGATAGTTATCTTCTATTTTACATATACTTCAAGAGCTTTCAGGGGGGAAAAAAGCTAATGAAAGGACTATGTTTACTTTATCAAGAAGAGGGATAAGAAATGATCTAGTATTGTTGCATAAATACCTTTACAGGAAAAAAGTTCTGTGTGCAAGTAAGTGCATAAAAAGTACCAGAGAAATGAAAAGAAAAAACCCCACCCAATTAATGCTTGAAAATTGAAGCTATGAATATTTCAATGACAAATTATAGATTTTAAACTATAAGTTAAATAATTAAATATTTGATTATGAACTGAAGGACATGGTGGGTTCCTAATTTCTGACACTGTTTAATGAAAACTAGCTGCCACTATAGAAGATATACTTTAGATGGACACAATGAGAAAAATTAAAGGTAAAGCTACATGGTGTGTGGCCAGATGGTTTGCCAAGAAGATCCTTTACTTCATGAAAAGTGATTTTCTAAATTTAATCATAAGCATGTACATTTAACTTTTCCTTTTAATGTTTTGTCTTTCAGGGTGGCATTAAGTTAGCAGAAGAGGATTTGGCTATGACAGCCTTTGTAACCATAGCATTGCAACAGACGCTCCAGGTCTACAAGTTACCTGATGTGGTAGGAAGCGTGACTCTTTAAGTCTGAAGGCTATTGCACAATGGCATATCCACTCTTCTATCTCTTACAGTACTGCAAATCAGGAGTATAAAATCTGTTTACATCTGTGGTGTATAGGAAAAGATTCCATGGCCTAGTGTACAAGGCGCTTCGACCTACACAGTCCATCATCAATGGCTTTAATCACTAATCAAAAGTGATTACAATTGTCCCAAAAATTACTACAGTGAAGTATTCTAATTTCCTAGTATTCTTGCCAGCAGTAAGACTTAGTAGATCTCAGTGATCTTTTCAAATGGATCCATTCTGTTTTCACAGGTAAAAGGGATTAGAGGAGCAGTGGATTACATGAAAAATCAACTTTCGGGAAATACTGACTGTTATTCTACAGTCATCACGGCTTATGCTCTGACACTTGTGCAGTCTGATAGTGAAGAAGCCCAGTTTGTGAAAGAAAAATTAAGGGACTGTTCTGTTTTTGATGCAGGTAACCATCCTTAAAAATTCCTTTAGAAAGCACTTTTCCTAATTGAAACACTGAGAACACCTACATGATCAAAACATATTCAAGTAAATGAGAAACATTTCATTTTATAGAAACATGTATGTATATGTATAATATATTTAATTATTTAAATTACATAATTAAATATGCCAATGTTGATGTTTTAATATGTAATATGCATAATTAATATCACTACAATGTGACACCATAATGAAGTTTGGATCATGATCTTCTCTGACACTGGAACTTGGACAATACCATGGTAAATATTCATTTACATTTTCTGCTCCCCTTGGGGAAAAGAAAAAAAAAGTCCAAGCCAAATGAGGAAGAAGAAAATTTGAATGAGAAAATAGCTACATATAACAGTAGCCCAGACTGGATTTCTGATCAAGAGGCAAGGTGTCTCTTCCAGACCACCTGCTTTCAAAGCCCCCCACCAGTTTGGAGTGCTTTGTTGCAGATCCACACGGATGTCACCTCTTAGTCCTCCAGTGTGTTGATGTGGTGACTGCTGGGTTAGTTGGCTGCGTGGCAGCACTACCATCCTATTAATTTCTTCCAATACATTTGCTAAATTTCTTGCAATACATTATGGTTTAATAGCCATAGTTTAAGTATAGGGAATATGGTTGTCCTTATTCAAGGCTGGATTTATGGGCATAATTAATACTGTTATCTCTCAGGAACCACCAGACACAATGCTACCACTCCATCACATGGACATCGCTGTACAGTGGGTTCATTAGACTGTGATAATTGAAAAATTGGAAGTTATAGGTTTCCTTTTCCATTATCTTTTCTTCTCAATGGATTTGTTGCTCTCGCAGCACCATCTGTGTCTTGTGGTCCCTCAGTGCTATGACACGAAATACCTACTGTGTAGAACAGTAGTGATTTTTGGCAAATGTCCCTATGAAGGAGATTCAAGACTGAGTTATTCTTGCAGCAAAGCAGCAGCGCTACTGGGGAAATGGGAACGATGCTGTCTCAGTGGAAACCACGGCCTATGCACTGCTTCAAACATTGCTCCTGAAAGACATGGAGTACACAAGGCCTATTGCTACGTGGTTGACAGAAAGAAGAAACTACGGTGGAGGGTACTGCTCTACACAGGTGCCTGCCTGCCAGTCCAGGGGGAATTCTAGGGCAAGGGGAAGAAAACAGAAGCCTCATACAGACTTTTTCATTTAGATTTGAAAGCATTATAACAGTTAATCCTCAACTTCTTTGGTGCATGAAGCACTAAAGATTTTGGCTCATTAATAAACAATGAGCCAAAATAAAATGATTAAAAGTTAGCAAAGAAGATTCTTTGTCTTCATGAAGACCTATGATAATCTAAGGTCAAAACTCCAGTGGTTTTACAATTTTAGTGCTAAAAGAAGAAGCTGGGAAATAGGATTAACAGTCTGTGCAGGTAGGAACAGATACAGGAGAACTTCAAAGCAGGAAAAAGCATAAAACTGAGTAGTCCAAGGTGACTGATAATGTCATCCTACATGTTGTTGAAATAATGTGGCATAATTATTACGTTTTTTACGCTTCTTTCTCACCCAGGACACAGTAGTGGCCTTAGAAGCTCTGTCAGCATACAGCATACAGACATTGAACACTGCTTCCACTGACCTGACTGTCAAACTGGGAACACCTGGAAGACAAAATGACTACAGCATTGTTCTGACTGATACTGATGAAGAGTTTCAGAAGCAGACAGAGGTACACAACAATCCCTTGTTTCAAACTTTTTTTCCTCAAACGGGAGAAACTGGATCATCTGACCTGGGTTTTCTCATGTTAAGCAACCATGATGTAGTTGGCTTATAATACCTTTAAATAATTTAATCTGTAAAACAACAGAATATTTTTAAAGAAAAAAAAAACAACAGGTGCTTAGCAGCACACTTTAGAGGTGCTTTCTCCTGCCTCTTCAAGGACTTTGATGATGTGAATCTCCCCTAACAGTGAAGAGCAGCCAGGAGACCAGGTCTTGCTAGGAAATGAGCAAGAAGGGGAATATTCTGATCTTCAGTGTGCTGTGAACAGTGAAAATATCAAATCCAGGCTACAGAGGGGAGAGTAAAGTTGATAAAATATGTCTATTGAGCCCTAAACAGCAGATGTACCAGCTCAACACATTTAAAATGTTATGAAACTTGAGGTCTTATAACTCCATAGCTAAAAGTTTTCCCTACCCCATTTTGGAGGGGTAAAGGCAAGATGACAGGAAATCCACAGATCAAATGCTGAGTACAGACTAAGTATTTTTTTTCCCCTTGCTTTGCAGTTTGAACTTGGGAGAAAACTTGAAGTATCGGTACATGGCAGAGGAAGTGGGACAATGAGTGTAAGTTGCAAATTCAAAATCCAGAGTCTAACTGGACTTCTTTTAATCCCTTTTTGAAAACTGAGTGAAAGATCACTTGCCATGACCTCAGCCTTCATGTTCCTACCTCCAAATTTCTAAAATTCATGGTCTAAAACCTGCCCTTATGGGCAGTCGATTTTTCTTGTCTTTAAATTTATTAAATCTTTGAAATGTCAATGCTGATAGAGGCAGCTGGAGTTTGAAAGACCTCTTTGTGGTTGGGAATAGAGAGTTACCTCAAAGGGGTCCCACACCATTTGTGAACTGCACATGCTTATATCCGTGACAGTCCTCTGTGACCATTCTGAGCCTCTGGGAGACTGGTCTTTCTCTCCACACTTCCATGTCCCATCAACATTTCTTCAAGTCTTGGATGAGTAAATCCCTTGTCATTTAAATGGTATTTTTAGTGGTTTGCCGTTCATGTGTTTGTCTTAGATATTAAAGATGTACTGGTCTCGTTCATGTGTTTGTCTTAGATATTAAAGATGTACTGGTCTTCTGAGCTGAAGAACAATACCTGCAATGATTTGATTTTGACGGTGGAAATGGAAGGGAGCATCAAGTACTCTGGTAAGTGAAAGGGGCAGTGATTGGGTCTCAAAGGTGACACGTTTGGCCAGCTGCTAATGATAATTCGCAACTTTCCAGCTGTGGAAAGTGAGAATTATCACAATGAAAGATAGAAGCCCCTGAACTCTCCCTAGATATTCTTTCGTTTAGCTTATTATTATTTGTAATAATATAATAACTATCAGAGTGACTGTAGGTGCAGCAGATACTTAACAATTACAGAACTAGAAACTCTTCTTGAAGAACAGGAGGTGAACTCCCTTCACAGAAGGTAAAGCCCAGCTCAGTTCCCTGGCTAATAAGGGACCTACCATATGCCCTTAAAACTCTTTGAGGCAGATTTGTCATAGATTTTTCATATAAGCAATAATGTGTTTTCCATCCCTTGAAGTATACATTCATCATCATCTCTGCCTTTGTCTGCATTTTTTTTCTGTTTGAATAGTTAACTTTTGGAGGGAGGGATTGTTCTTTACAAATTTATTCATAGCCTAAACTCCATACTTAGCTACATTTGTTAGTTATTCTTACTCTAGTTACCCCTAAAATTCTAAATCTGAATTAATTGGAAATACTGAGATGGTGTACAGCAAACTTTTATAAAACCCACAGTGATGGCATGACTTCCAACTGATATTTATCATTATACAAAAAAGAGCCAAATTACCAAACCCTCAGGCAAATTTATGCATGGCTGATCATATTTCTCACCTCCAGAAGCTGAATATTCTGATGAAAATGATGGTGAGGACTTGATTGCTGCAGAAAACAGCACATTTGAGGGGCTTTCTGGCATAGAGTGGTTTGATATCCACAGCAGAAGGAAAAGGGATGCCATCACTCCCGGTAAAGTAGAATCACTGCGGTACAAAGTCTGTGTCAGGTATGTCTGCAAGACCAGCTCTTCATTTGTTTGTAATTCTCCTTGGTCACCCTCTTCATATCCACAAACTCAGCTTCCAACATGGTGATCTTCTGTGAGTCTGAATACACTAAGAGTCTGTGTCCTCTCTCCCATGGCAGGAGAAAGGATTTCCACACAATTATGAGGTTTACATGATTTGCATATACTTCAGATGCCCACTGCAGATTCTGCCCCATCAGACTCTGGGGAGACTCTAAAGCACCTGTCAGGCTAATCATTTGAAATAAGTCTTTTATTAAATAAAGTAAATACAACTGGAATACAGTAGTAACACATTTACAGAGTTTCTGGAAAGATGCTGTTACTTCCTTCGCAGTCAAATTCTGGCCTTATAAGAAAGAAAATATGTCTACTACTAGCTGAGAGAGCAGGGGAGGAAGATAGGATATCCTATTGTGACAATCAAAAAGTTGGCAAGGCCAGAGGTAGTAAGAAAGAAATCCTCCCATGCAGAATAACTCTGAAACACCTGTCTTTTCTCTTGCTCACCGACTGGCATGGGTCTCAGAAGCACAAAGTGGTGGCTGTTCTGGATTCCCCTTCTAGAGAGGTGCAAGGCAACAGAAGCAGGTTTTACTCCCCAGTAGAATTTCATTTTTCCATTGACTTTTGGCAAAGCCTTGAAGACAGTGGTTAAGACACAGGAGAAAAACTGAAGGCACAAACTACATCACCAATTCTTCCCTACACTGTGGTACAACTCTTATGGGAAAAGGAGGGTGCCAAAATAAAAAGTTCTGAAGTTCAGAAAGCCTATATGAGAAGCTCAGGCAAGACACCTGGGTTTTGAATGGCCATTTGACCAGTTAAGATGACTAATTTTGCCTCATGACTCCTAATGAAGTAGGCAGCTAATTTTCAAATTAAAATCCACTTTGGAAAGTTAAATGGAGCAGAATGTTTTGTTTCACCATTAGCAAGCCTGAAAAGCCAAACTCTTCAAAGCAAGCTGGCTGTTCAGTGCAGATGTTCACTGCTGACCATCTCCTTTATAAAGGTCCACAGGTTCCAAAGCACCAAAGATGTCCCTGGTTGATCTCACTCTGCTGAGTGGCTTGGAGCCTGACACAAAGGATCTCGAACAGGTTAAAAACACACTTTTCTGTGCAATCTTTCATAGCCCTTTTAGAAAATTTGTCTTTCAAAATCTTTCAGAAGTCCATAGAATAAACAAGGGAAAACAGATTTTGGAAAAGCAGATTTTCATTATTCTTGTTCTGATGAAATATTTGCTGAATATATACAACAAATGCAAAGCTTGTGGTGAACATAGTTCAACCTTCTTAGTCCCTTGTAAGAGAAATTAGGGCAAAGCTCAGCAGGGCACTTAAATACATGCCTCTCCTTCACACATACTACTGTCCCCACTGGCACTGTTGTCCTGCGACATGCCAGGACAGTGCACCCTGTGCTTGCAGGGGGAAAGGCAAGTACGTCTTAGAGGTGGTTGATGGCAGAGCACAGTGAAAAGGAGATGGAGGAACACAGCGCTCTAAAAACGTGGCTACAGAGTTTGGGTTCTGGAACCTGGTTTATTGGGGCAGGTTTGCCCAGTTTCAGGCTCTCAGGGATTGTCTCCTTTAGGGAGGAAGTAAGAGGGCAGAATAAAGCACACAGCTGAACAAAGCAAACCGGTATATAGAGGTTGTAGTATTCCTGGTCTGCCAGGGTTTTGTTCTGATTTGTTTGTTTCTTTGTTTTCCTGCAGTTGGTGACAGCTTCAGACCAGTACATTCAGCACTATGAGTACAAGGGAGGGAAGGTTTTGCTCTACTTTGGTGAGGTAAAGCAAACCCAATGATTTTCTAATCCCTGCCATCTCAGATAGCTTATTGACTTTTTTTTAAAAGCCAATGATTATATTTTTCACGCTCCATTACCTTTCTGTATTTTTTGTTATATATTATTATGAATGACTCAATTGAAAAAACAGAGGGGGGAAAGAAGGGAAACACACACCTTCATCTTCCACCTTTTTATGTTCCAGGAGATATAGTCCATATTTGAGATTTGATCTCTGGCCCAAATAAAAAGAGAAATCCTCTCCCTCTCTAATCAGAAGGGATACTTTTTGTGCATGATTAACAAAAGTGTTAACTGGTGGTCCTGTAAATTCCACATGGTCAACTTGCATGTCAAGATCGAGATTCATGTAGTGATAAACAAATATAACCATCAGACCCATAGTTTCTGTGTGTATTTCCCAATATTTTGGATAATGACTCCACCCTATACCCACTTGAGTTGCTTCACCTCTACAGTCAAAACAGGAGGTCCTCGTAGAAAGCACACATGGGCAGTGATTTTTATTTTTTTTTAATATTAGATAATAGACAAATGAAAAAATGTAAATGTTATTATTGCTATGACTTTCCTAGATAATTTGTTCATGTAACATCTGTCAAAATCTGTCTCTGACCTTAGCAGTTTACTAAAGAAAGTGTATATACTGGTGGCCACTGGCACAAGAGAACATATTTAACGCCCATTACTCCTGTGCAAGGTGGCTTTAGGAAAAAGCTGAAAAGTAAACCCCGAAGTACCAATGATGTGAGTCCAGATCAGACAACTGCAGGCAGAGAAGACCTGCACACATCTTACAAAACTACTTTTTGAGTCTTAACTCATGCACAAAATCTCCCAGTAAAATCATGGAAGGAAAAGTCTCCTTCAAGCTGACGGTACAGATACCAGCATCTATGCCATCAGAAACAAGCGTTCAAAAACTAGCACAGGTACAAATGAATAAGGAATTGACTGAGGAGAGAGAGTTAGTTTTCTCATCAAAACTATTGTTCCTTTTTCCTCCAGCTCACAAGTGGACCAGACCCGGATTGTATATCATTTGGGGCAAAGCAAATCAATCCCATGGGCTTGGTTCAGCCAGCAAATGCCGTCCTTTATGATTTTTACAGTCCTGGTAAGGGCACAGAAAAATGATGCATAACTGCTTGAAAGAGAGACCCTCAAAAAAACCCCTCCAGTCTATATAAAAGTGATTTTGATGTAGCGTGTGAAGCCACATAATTTTATCTAGTGATAAAATAACCTGCTTTGCATACTGTCTTGCACTACCATGGCTTAAGATTATCTAAACAGAGATCCTCTCAGGAAGGTCCATTATTTCAAATGGAATGAAAAAAGAATTTTTACACTTATGGATTTTTAAATCAGGTTTCCTGAGTTCCTGTTTCTTCTGGTGATTTTAAGCATGTTTCAGTCACATTTTGTTTTCAGTTAGGCTGTCTAAGATAAGCAACCTTAGAGGTTTTATTTATGTACTGTGCTTGCTGGAGAAGTCAGTCTTGTTCCCCATTCAAAGAAGGTTAAATGCAAATCATCCCCATTTGCCAGAGTTATGCAAACAGTATTTGAAAATTAGGTGAAAGTAGACTTTGCCTAAACTGAGGGGTCCAAGACAGTTTACACTGGCTTTAAACCACTAGCTATTGGTGATCCGATCTTCTGAAACAGTGCAGTGCCCACTGTAGTTCTATGGTCTAATGATTTTTAAGATGAATGCTTTTCACAGGGAACAATAAAAATGGCGGGGGAGTGGGGAGGGAGAGAAGAGTGCAACTTAAAAAAAAAAATACCCGAACAAAATTTACCCAAACTTAACAAAAAAACTGTTGCCCAACTGAAAGGCAAGGTGATCCCTGTACTCTAGGTGCCTAAGCTATAGGTCTTTGTGGACTGCTGATGTGCATTCTATCCCTTGGTGCTCTCCTTTCCCTGGACCAGGGAGAAAAGTTGACCTGCAGATGTAGATTCTACTGTACAGGCTTTTCCACCTGAGCTCTGAGACAAGCTGTTTTGTTTCTTCTACATAGACAGAAAGTGCAGTGTATTCTACAGTGCTCCCAAGCACAGTGCCATGCTTTCAAAGGTGTGCCACGCCAATGTTTGCCAGTGTGCAGAAGGTAAGGAATTACTACATAGGCGGATCTAAAAGAAGACAGGTACTTCTAGGAACTATTAACATGGAAATTGTTAAGTCCAGAAAGGACCATTACAATTATACCAATACATAATACAGGACACAGTGCGTCCTCTAGTATGTTCGGTATCAAATTGAAATTGATCTTTTGATAGCTGAATGCAATATGTGTATATATATATATGTGCATACCTATGTAAAAACCCTCTATCGCACCTCTAAGAAAGTTGTTCTGCCATTTTGTTATCTGTTATATTGTGGTGTGAATGTGTATGTGTAAACTATATCTGTCTACATGTCCACGTCTACAGAGACAGACATATCACTTATTTTCTTCACTCCAGGTCCCTGCCCAAGACAAAGATCAACTTTCAGTAAAACTGTAACACAAACTACACGTTTTAATTTTGCCTGCTACCAACCTACCGCAGATTATGGTAAGACATGACAGACAACTGTCAACTTAGTTTAAACATAGTTCTTTTTCATAAGGATAAATTTGTATTTTTTTTTATGCCCAGACCTCTCCTGAATTGAGTAGGATTTCTGTATGTGGCCTACTGGCTAAGGAGATGAAATGAAGGCATGTGCTATTGTAGCCATCAGAGGGGTGAAATGGAAAGTAAAGGCCTTGGAAAGATACAGGGGATGCTGGGGGAAGGAAGATTGGACAACATAATGTTACAGGGTTTAGAAAAAAAACGTTGCCTTACATCCCTCGTGTTACAGGATATAGATAAAGAATATGCTCTATATAGCATACCATAGCTCAGCAGCTCTTTCTACAGAGCTAGATGAATATTTTCTCCTTTGTTAATTTGCCTTTCTGACCTCTTCTTTGGATGGAAAATTGGAAGAGCTACTGAAGGAAAACTGGTTGAGCAGCTTTGGTAAGTTAGATTCTAACAGTAGGACAGGAAAAAGAGTGAAAAGACAATCATAGAGGAGCTTCCTTGAAAAAAATACAAAAAAGGAATACAAATCTATAAGGTCTTCATTAATACCTGAGCTTCTAAAAGTATGAAAGGTGTCTTTCATACTCCCATGATTTGTGAATAGATGGTACATTGGCCTCTGTATAGACACTTGGTAAAAGCATACCTATTTCTTAGTCTTTGGATGCAATTTCATGTTTCCATTTGGTTGCAGCATATGAAGTGGAGGTCCTCAACAGTACAAAGAAGAATGTTTTTGATTACTATGAGGCCAAAATCCACAGAATCCTTAAAACCAGTAAGTATAAAAATCTTTGATTCCTTTCATTCGCCTGTAGGAAAACTAGGTTGATTGAACATTAGCCAGTACGAGCCATGCAGATACCATCTTTTGCTGCAGAAAGTAGGGTCAGATGCGCTTCTACACTAGGCTTTCAAGAAGGTTGATTTATTGCAAGGTTTGGTGTATCTGCCTCATTGTTCAGTTCGGCTCAGGGATAGTTTTTTGTTCACACTGTGCATGATTGCACATTGTGCAATCCCAGAGCGTGTGAGCTTCGTCCTTTCACATGAAACTAAACTAGAAGACACACTCTAGCTGCACTGAGTCCATGGCTCCAAACTAGAGTTAGTCTAAGATAAACCCTCTAAAAAAAACATTCTTAGTGTGGATATTAGGACTTCTGCACCAACTAGTTCACTTTATAGACTACTACTGATTAATATTTTTTCTAGTCTACGCATATTCACTGGCCTCTGTTCTGATACTAGATTAAGATTTGACGTGCTTATTACTCAATTAATCATGAAACAATTGCAATCCTTGAAGAATAGGCTGAGTTGTCCACAATGACTTGCCTCAAGTCAATGAACACAGGAAAACTTCTATAACTTCAGTTTAATGATTATGATAACAAGAAGCCTTTCTGTTTCTTTAGATGCAGTGTAAATATTTGCACTTAGGCAATGTTGTTTTGCAGGCCTGTCATCCCAGCTGCCCCCATGTGAACTTAATCAGCAGTATCAGTGAATACTGAAACTCTTCACAATTATTTCTGGCGAAGCTCTCACATGACATCTCAAATTGCAGCCACTGTGGTATCATGCAGTTGCCATTTTTGGGTTTGGCAGCCAGAGATTGCCTTTAAAAAGGAACTTCAAAGGTTTTGAATCCTTCCATCTCTGGAACAGAATAACTAACTCATTCCATCAGTCTTTGCTAAGGGGACTGGCAATGCCACACAGTACTTTATGGCACACAACTTGTGTGCCCAATGTTCAGTTCTTGTTGGAAAATCAGGCCCACTCTTTATGAATCCAGAGAGAGCATCTGACATATAGGGCTTTCCCTGTGCAGGGAAATGATAATGCACCTAGTGATCAAAATACTGGCTATGGGAAATTATGGTATTCTGTGGGAAAGTTTCATTAATCTCTTTAGAATACCTACAGGATTTAAAGGATTTAGAGCTCTGGGTTCCAATGCGTTTGTACTCACAACTTACAGGCAAGCACTGGAAAAATTTTGTTGCTCGGTAGCTGAGAGAAACACCCTTTGAATGCGAAGTTGAAGAGAAAAAGACATCTTCTCCCATTCCCACATACTTTAAAATCCCCTTTGGTTTGTGCTGTCTAATGCAGCTTCTGAGCAGTAGGCTTTCAGCAGGCTTGGGAAAGGCTGGCAGGAGGCATGAAGCCACAATGATAAAGAAAAAGCAAGGTGTTGCACCCAAATCAGCTTGTGACTGAACTAGAGTTATTATCTTCTGTATTCTCTGTGTCTCTTTTGAGTGAGGTTGGCCTATGTTGCCGTCACCAAGGGTAGGTGAGAATTCGTAGGGTAAAAATCTCATTCCCTGGATCCCTGTCATTATTTCAGTATCAATCTTTGAAATAAAGGATTGGTTCAGAAGACAGATGGAAGCATTTATTTGTGTTTGGGAGTCAGCAAGAGAGAATTTTGCAGATATGTGGTTCTAGAATTACCTTGATTAATAATAGAATTAGTACATGTGTTTTGGGTGGCTAATATTTATGCTGTCCTATGAGTTCTTTAGGAGTCCTCTTAGAGGAACAGTATAGCCTGTGCAAAATAGCATAGAATCCTTTTTTTACTCTTCTTTTTTTTTTCCACCCCCAGTTTTTTTGTTTCCTATTATAGATTCTAAAATTTGAAGTAATTGTTCCCCTTACATTCTGCTTAGAAGCTTTAAAACATTATATTTTAATTATTTTTTTAATTAGAGATTTAGAATTGAAAATTATGTAATAACCTGTTAAAGGAACAACTCAAATGCTTACAATTGCCACAGTTTCAATTTCATTAGGGCATTTGTGAAGCATATGAATTGAGAAACACCTTGGTAATTTAAGCCCAATGAACCTGAGGAATAAGATAATTTTCTCAAGTTCTGATCCATTTTTGCATTCCATGAACAAAATGAAAATTCAGTCCACCATGTACCATGGGAACAACAAAAAGGTCTTGGGTTATGTGAGAAAACCTGAAGTACTTATTATTCTTTGGAAAAATGTAGATGTATAAGTACTATTTGTAAAATCAATGTAAGTTTTACTAAGGAAGTAGATAAGGTTCTTAAAGCTAGGTTGCACAGTCCATGTCAAATTCTCTGAAATCTTATTAATGTCGAAATATTCTACTTCAGGTTTTTATTCTACTTTTAGGGGTTTATTTTGAATACTAGACTTCCCATACTTTAATATAATACTTTGGAGAGCAGAAGCTGCACAAGTTTCTGTTAACTGATAGAAAGACTGTGGTGCCTTACCTGTAATTCAAGCTGATTTAATATTGAATTTATCACCAGGACATTTCAAATTATAGTTAGAAAGAGAGTAAGCAAGTAGAATATTGGAGTTATTTGCATTTTTTTCCAAATGGACTTTGAAAACTGTTGTCCTAGTTAAAGAACACAGTATCTTCATGGCCTGAAATTGGTCTGATGAATAAGCATCTTTCCAGCTCTCATGTCATTGCAATACCAGAGCAGCCACCTCCTCTGCCTTGGATGCTCACTTCTAGTGTGCAATGCAGTTCTGAATGAATAATCTTCTGGGCCAGGATCCAGAGCAGAATCTTCTAAATTATTTTAACATGCAGATCACCAGGAGCATGTCCTATGTATCAGATTAGAGGGAAAGGCGGAAAGGCTACATCAGTGAAGTTCAGGTCAAATGTACTACAGAGAGTGAGATTTTAATACTATCTGCTGCATTGTTAAGATATTTGAATTTAGTATCCTAGCTTTTAAGACCACTCTGAGACTGAGAAATCTGAAATAGCAGGCAGCACATTTTCTATTTTCCTTGGCTTTTCCTTCAATCTCTGAGATTTAAACAAACTCCATAACGTCTGAAAAGTCATAAGGTCTATAGCAAAACACCTCCTTCAATAACTACTGCAGAGGCCAAGACAACCAGCTAAGGCAAAAGTGGCTTACTTTTTGTCAGGTAGTGCTAAGGGAAACATATCCTATCAAAGCATGGACATTTATCCCCATGTCAAGCTTCAAATCCCAAGTGAAATATGGGAGTGGGGCAGTGGGGCAAATGATCCCAAAGGGTTGTGCCTTGTGGGCTACAGTTCTGCTCTTTATTAGAAAAGTTCATGGGGTTTTCTTCTCTTGTTCCACAGCTGATGATGAAAGCATTCAAGTGGGTGCCCACCGACAGTTCCTGACACGCTCCACGTGCAAGTTAAACATGGTCCCTGGCAAACAGTACCTCCTCATGGGGAAAGATGGGGAAACAGTCGATTGCAACAACAAGTAAGTGCAATGGTTTTTGAGCAGCAGCAGCTGCTACTACAGACCATAAATCCAGAGGATACTCAATCTATTAGAATAATTCCAGAAAGCAAAGGGAGGACCAAATTTCTCAGACTAATTCTGCTGAATTTACTAAAAAGCAAAGAGTTCCACTCCATAGGCAAAAGGGTAGCTGTGGGGAACAGGTAAGCCACCAAAATCTGTCGGCTCATGTATCTGTGCAGAGGTTGGTTTCCAGACTTCTCAGAATTAAGTCTGGCCCTGACTCCATTGGGTTAAACTTCACAGCTGGAAAAGGAGAATGGGAAAAGCTACACAGTCCACCTACTGCAGATCCCTTAAACAACTCCTGTGTTTGCAAAAGAAATGAGCAGAACAATGACTAAGAGCAGACCACAAAGTTTCTGTTATATCATGCATGTAAACAGCATATTCTTCTCATTTCCCATTGTCACTCTTTAATAAAAAAAGACAATTTATTTGTGTAGGAATTTAGTCTGACACTATCAAGTATTCAGGGAGGAAGACATCTTAAGTGTTTCATTTCCTTTCACAGAAGTGGAGAAAGGTAGTGCCTCTGAAAGCTTCTAGGGGGGAGACCTCCATCAAATTGTGAGCGCCACTTCCTAAAACCTTAAAAAGTCCCACCCCCATCTCTATATGACACCAAAGTGAGTGTCTAAGGGGCCTTCTTCAGCAGAAGCCTGCTAAAGAGTGGGGTCTCCTGGAAGAGGTGTAACCTCCAAAGTCTTCTCCAGTCCAGTTGTAAAATACTCGAAGTAACACAGCTTCTCAGCACAAAAAATTAGAAAACATTTTGGGACACTGTTGAAACTAAATTGCCCCTCACTGTGTCCCACTGATGTGCACTGGGGCCTTTTCTGCCATTCTGGAAAACTGTAATTGAAACTTAGCCCGAGCTTACCTGACACTCTCAAAACACCAGTGCAGCCAGGTTTGTCCCAGCTTGGTGCTGACACTTCCCAAACTTTATTCAAAGCTCAGTTAACCTGCTGGTGAAACTAAGTTTCAGGCAAGTTTCTTGGCTAGTATATCTCCTGATCTCAGAGATGCCTCAGTGGAGGGATGCAGCATCTCAGGGATTATGCTTTCCCATTGCTCCATGTCAGGAATAATGACTCATCTTCTTTATCTGTCCCATTTTCATTCAGGATGCAGTACTTCCTTGATGCACAAGCCTGGGTAGAGAAAATTCCAGGCACCAGTGAGTGCCGCAGCACCCTGCGTCGGCAAAGCTGTGCTCACCTGCAGGACTTCCTGAACACATCTGATAGCCTGTGCCTGCTCTGATCCACACATCCTATTCCTTGTGACTGCAGCTTGCCTCCTTCCCGAATTTTTTTTGCAAAGAATGTGCACCCAAGTGGCACCTGAAACCCTGCAGGGCTGCTTCCATTGCTGTTTTGCTCTCTGAGGTATTCCTTGTAGATTTGTGTGTGGGAGTAATACAACAAAAATTGCAGTTACTCTACTAGTTATTGTGTTTATTGTACCTGACACTGGCAAAGAGAGAGTAGGAATTTCTGTCTTACTGATCCATTATATAACAGTGCAATTATCCTGTGGAGGCTCAAATGAAAAAACATTGTGCTTGTAGAGCTGATTAATTCCTGCCTTCCAGAAAAAGACGTCAAGAAATTTCCATGGGTCAGAAAGAAGACTGGACATTCCTGGGCTTAAAATAGGCTGTATATGTATACTTTATATCACTTTTGTGGCTTCCACAAATATCAAAAGCAGTTGACAATGAAAAATTATCCCAAAACTCAAAACTTCTCTTTTCTTAAGATAAGAAAAAAATCTGTAGAAAGTGTTTTGATAACACTGATAAGCAGATGACTTGCAAATACAGGTGTTATACTTCAGTTTGCCAGAAAGATGTCATTTGGCAGTTATATCTGAAGCAGAGAAGAGCTGCAACAAAAAGCTGTGTTTGCTGAATAGGTCACCATCCTCAGCTGCTCATACCGCTGTCTATCTACTACATTGCCAGCAGCTACTGAGCACATATATTTGCCACCCGGACTCCTTGTGTACACTGCAGTAAAAATAAAAGGGCCTGTATCAATGATATGACAATTAGCAGGTTCATGCTGATGTTGTTAATTTGGAGTCAAATTACTCCACTGACAGGAGGGGCAGCAGTGAGCCTTGTGTGGACAAGACGTTACATGGCAAAAGCACCTACCAGAACAGCTCCATCATGAGAGCTGTCAGACCCAGACAGCTCATTGCTGTGTGCTCGCACTGTGAGGTACCCAGCTATCTTTGAAGGCTGCAAACTCAAATTTAATGTCAGCTGAACACGAATATCAGCAACGTCCTCTTCTCAGCTGCCAGGATTTGCATGGATGGAGGGTGGGAAGGCTCATTTTATGAAAACTTGTATCACTGCTTCACGATACGTGCAAAGGAGGATAAGAAACCTACTCAAGGTATAAGACAGACACTTAAATTAACAGAGGACCTTGATGTTTGCTCCAACTTTCATATTTAGGAAATATGACTGTAATACCTGGTCATATATTCTCTTTCTTTTATTACAGAACTCAAATAAATGTAGTCATATGGCAAAATACAGCTGAGGTTAGTAAAGCAAGTACTAATTTCTACTAATAGAAAATAAAGAGTAGCCTGTTCCACCAACATACCAATTATATAGTAATTCTGCTAATATTTATGAAAAGATATCTCTAAGGTTAAGAGCTAAGTCCTTCTTTTCCACTTCACAGGACTTGAGTTAAATGCCAGTATCTGACAGGTCAGAGGTTCCTGCTAAGCAGACAAACACCAAATAATTGCTCCACTCAAGACTCTGTAAAATGATGCAGTGAAAGCATCATTAAAATGTTATGATAGTTCTAGCATGCATTTTACATATTCTCTTCTATTTTACTTGAAGATAAGCTAAGCTGAAACTGCTTAGTGTCTATCTTCGCAAATGCAGACGCATAACGTGGGAGCTCTTATTTTTGGGACAGAGGACCCAAGCATGCTTTTACTTTAATTCTGGCAATCTGGAACCCCTGGCTTCCTGAGGAAACCTTTAAATATCTCTGGCTAAGGAGCTACCACAGAACAGTCTATCCCCCTCTACTTTTCTGCCCCAAACTCCCAAGCATATTCATAGGGAGAGGGAAGACAATGGTGGAATTATTCTCTGCTGCCAAGGTTGTTAACATTTGCAGGTAACGCAGCTGAAGACCTGCTGGACACTCAGACAGCACCATGGAGGCCTGCTTGAGAGCTCTAGAAGCATTCGTTTCTTGTTCTGCTGCCACAACCTGCAAAGGAAGAGAAATGGAAATGTCATGGTGACACTGCTCTTAGTGGGGAAAACCCACCTTTATAATGAGAAAACAAGCAAGCCCTTGGATTCCTGGAACATGAGAACAAGAGGAAATGGCCTCAAGTTGCTCCAGGTTTAGATTGGATATCGGAAAAAAGTTAGGTTGTCAAGCACTGGAACAGGATGCCAGGGAAGTGGTGGAGTCACCAACCCAAGAGATATTTAATAGACATGTAGATGTGGTGCTTAGGGACATGGTTTAGTGGTAGACTTGGCAGTGTTGAGTTAATGGTTGGAGTCAATGATCTTAGAGGTCTTTTCCAACCCAAGCAATTCTATGGTTTTATGACAAGGAAACGGGTGCTTGGGGATAGACATTGTTGTGGGTCTCACCTTAGCTCTTGTCTTGTGAGCAGCCTCTGCTTCAGCTGCCATTGCCCTCTGCATGGCCACAGGAATACTGACATCTTTGGTCTCCACATGGGCCACTTTGACTCCCCACTGCTCCATGGCACTGTTGAGGATAGCCTTGGGGATAAACACACAACACACCACAAAGAGTGCAGTGAGAAAGCCACACGATGTACCCTGCTACTTGGACAGAAGGACAGGCAGCATGCAAACCTGGACAGCAGAAAGACAGATCCTCCAGAGACACGAACACTGAGCACAGTGTACGTATGGTGAGTACCACAGCCTTATGAAACACCTGCTGAGCAACACCAGTGTCACCTGTGTGGCTTCTCTACTGCCTCCTAAATTATGATCCCTGTGCTTTAGTTGGGCACTTACCAAACTTCTCCCTTTTACAAAGAAATACTACAACAACTTCCTTGGCAGCACAACACTGTAAAAGCACGTAAAAGTACACTATGGGTGAAAGACACAGCACAGCCCTGCAGCACTGACACAATCTTATTTGCTCTGGCTCCTGGGCACTCCTGCAGTTCACGCCACCACCATGACCCTGGCTCTGCCCAAGGCCACTCTTCTTGCTGGAGAGGGATAGAGTCTCTCTTTGACTATGCCTCATCTCTGACTGAAAATAGTAAATCAGGTGTTGGATTTCTTCTCTGCTCCTTCCTTGGCTGCCAAATAAAGAAAGGAACCAGATGGTATTTTAAAGCACAAAACAACTGGTTCTGTACTCTTAGTTGTGATGACAGGAGATACAAGCCTTGCCTCAATCAAGAGTGTGCTCAAGACAGAGCTTCCCACAAGCAGCAAACATTTCTCCATGCTTGCAGCGGCCTCTGTGCAAGACTAAACTGATTTATTTAGGTCACTGAATAATTTCAAAATCTTAATTGCTTTTTGATAGGAGATAACTCTGTTACAAGAACCTGGGGAAATACCTTTAGAATAACTCTTTCTGACTCTAAGCAATGAGATGTGTAATTGAAAAAACAATAAAGGGAGATTTTGTTATCATTATTCAAAAAAGAAAAAGATAGTATTTCTAATTTGCTACTCCCCAGAACACATCTCCCTTGTCAGTGCTTGTCAGTGAATTTTGAGAGCCAGATTTACCTGGATAATTCGTGCAATCTCCTCATGACCTGCCAGCAGCTGAGCCAAGCTCTGTGTACCCAGAATGTTTCTCAGGGTTGTCTGTGCCAAAAGCAAGGTCGCTGAGTGGACATCACTGATGTTAGCAACAGCATTGACAGCACTGCAGATCCTGTAGTACACCACCCATCAACTTAGGCAGTAACAGCATCTTTCGTGAGAATCTGCATTCGAGAAATGTAAAGAACTAGAGAAGGATCTGATAACACATCCTTTGCCTAGGATGGGGAATTATTTTTTTTTTACCCCTTAGTGAGGCGAAGGCTCTGATAATTCAAAGAAACTAAGAATTTCTTTTGATTTTCTTGTCGTTACCCTGAGGAATTACTTCAAGACAGCTCTCCAGCACCACCAATTTTTAAACTGGGGCAAAATGTTGTACATAGCCTCTAAACCACAGTTTCAACAGTAAGCGAATCTCATAATTTGAATTAATTTCTTCTGCATTAATACATGATGGCCATCCTCTTCCTTTCTTGTAGAAAGGATCATTAATGATTTTATACCTTACATGCAATTTGGAAGATCTGTGCTACTTCCTCTAAACAATGTAAGAAACACCAGCAAATTGAAACAAAAATGAAAAGTGAAAAGAATTGTGAGAAGAAACAGAAAAAAATATTAAAGCATTCATAGAAGTGCTGTGTCATCTTTTGGCAGACAAGTTCCCTGTGCCTCAGCAGGCAGCTGGCCTCAGTGGAGCACTGATGATGCTCCACTATCTCTTCTCTCCTCAGCATCTTTTGCCTGCAAGCAAATGCTTCACAGAAGCCCTGCCAACCACTGCAGAAGCCTTGCCAGAACCTGCTAAGCCTTGTACAGCACAAGTACTGCAATGTATTCCTTCCAGCCTTATGTTTTTGGCAAGCAATTTTTCATTTCACCCCATGCAACCCTGCAACCTGCACTCTGAGAAAAGGCTCTTTGTGCTTATGGAAAGATAACAGTTCAAGAAACAGCTTCTGGGGAACACAGTGGGCAATCCTTGAGGCCAAAGGGGCCCTGGAGCTGTCTCTTTGCCCTCTGCTCTTCGTGTAACGAAGGGGACAGTGGTGCCAACTCCACAAGCAGAAGCATTGTTCTGCCATAGAGTTGGTGTCACACAGAGACAAAACCTAATCAAGACAGGATTTCTCAGCAACTAATTCTTCAATTAAGTTCTTCAGTCAATATTTGTCAATAAAGTGCCTAAAGATACACCCCTCCATTCCTGTTTGCATCTGAGTTTTGTGGATGTTGTCTGCTAATTCCTGTTTATTTAAGTAGACTTGTTACCCATATGTAATTTGCCTTTTTGCAAACGTAGAAAGCTCTTTTGAAGGGTGAGCTCCACGTCAGATCCAATTTCATTAGGACATTCATTTACAACTGCGAGTTTCGTACTTGCTCCTCTATTGTTCTTT